GCCCTCCACCCCGCCACGCCCCTCGCCCCGCCCCTCGCGCCCGCGCCCGCACTCGCACACCTCGCGCTCTGACCGCATCTTTATAAATGTACCGGCTGTGAGACGGCCTATTTTATACCTATTTGATTTTCCTCATCTTGGCGCTGATGGTAGAGGCTTGCGGCTTGCGGCGGTGATGTGGATTCGAACTAATACTATACATACAATTATCTATCACGTAACATCAACAGGAACGTTTAAATCGGAACGAAGCTGAAGTTTATGACGTTATTGTCATTTTTGGTACAATGACTTACTTTGAAAAATAATTGTTAACTATACTATTTTCATCACAACGAACATCACAGCTGTTGTAAAGATTACTTTGTTAGTCGTAGCAATTATTTGGATATCCAGAGAAATTAAAAAAACTCGTTTGGATAAAAATATTGTATAAAAATACCCACAATATTAAAACATTAAAATACGTTACCATATTTGTGAGTTAAATAAAACTTGCATCACACAACCGGCATGTGCTAGTCGAAAGCGAGTTAAAAAACGTGCCAAAGCGTTGCCATCAACAAAACGTCAACGCTTTTGTGACTCATATATAAACATAAATATTTATTTGCACATAATAAAATCTTATAACACATACATCTTTATATGTTTTGCAAAATTATTCATTAAAATATTAATACGACTAAAACTTGTCTAGTATCGAAAATTTCTTAATTTAAATATTGTTGCCTCCTTTTATATAACATATTAATCTTGTATATAAATATATAAAATTAATGAAATGTAGTGAAAAATGTATATCTTCCTTATGTAAATTGTATAAAAACCATTTAGATAGTGTTTTAGTGTTGACACTGTTTACCTGTTCTTGACTGAATATATCTAGAATGTTCTAGACTTTATCTAGACTCTGCCTCGGAATTGAGCGCCTTTATATCCTAATATATAAGATATATGAAATGTACTATACTATCATATACGCCGATTTATTTTTAGAGATAGGACAATAACACCCGCCTCCATTTTTTTCACATATAGTCGATATTTGAACAAGCGCACTTATTTCAATTATTGAACTGCGTATAATAATTCTAATACTTTCAAAGTTGTGGACTCGCATGACAATTTAACAAAAAATGAGTGGCATTGAATGTGTTAAAAATAAAGCCGACTGACTGAACGTATTAAACGCAGATAAAATATATAATTGTAAATCACATTGGATAGAAGTAGGACATAAATACCCTCCTATCAGTCGGGCAAAATTTCGTTTCTTAATAACGGGGGTGGGCTTTAGTATTGTAGAAAATCATCGGAGTATCTCTTGTGTGAATTAATACGATAAAATTTTATTAACTGTTATATGTTGTGGTTGAATCAAAGTTTTAGTATAAAAGTATTCAAATATCTTGGCTTCTCTTAAGTTCTAGCGATCGTGCAGAACATGTTAGGTGTGTGTAGTGGTGACTGAGCCGCCAATATATTTGAAAAGAACTATATATGTGTACCTATAAAATATAGTGAGATTTATATTAAGAGGTTTATAGGTTATGTACTATCGCTGCCTGAAGTTACTGCGGTCAAACTAAAAGCATAGAAAAAAATATAAGCAATTTCATTGAAATGTTACGTGAAGGATTATCAACGTGATTGTACTTATATCAAAATTCTAAACTGACTTCACAAAAGTCAGGCGTGTTACAGAACAAATATTAAAGTAGTTTCATCTCTTTCTAACCGATTCAAATAGAGTGAGACAAATTGTCATGTGTTTTTTCGTTATTTGTGTGTGCGTTCTAAATGTGTTTTTTTTTTTCATTTCACTCGTTAAATAGTCAACTTGAACACTATACATATTTTAGGAGAGGATGCGAGGGTTAAATGGTAACTGTGTATTTTATAATTATTTAACTTTAAAGGGTTAATACACTAACAAATGGGGGATTTTTAGCTTAAATGGTTTGTAGGTGACCTCCTACATATTTGCATAAACACTATACAGTCACACATACACACACATACATCGATCCGTACCCGCTGACAAACTGGACCAGCTTCTCCTGGTCAAAGCTCGCGTGCCCGTGTTTTTGGGCAGCTAGCGCCACTTTGTACCACCATAGGATATAATGGTAATAAGCATTGGCGGATGCTGAAACCGATCTTGTCTGCGTAATGCTCGTCTATGTCTGAGATAGCCTTATATTCTGCATCTACTAGCTGGACATAACCAGCGGCATCAGCGTTAAAGCTCTTAGTTGGCTCCTCTGAGACGAAGCCAGTTTCGCCATCAATAACAAAAGATTCTAGCCACAAAGGATCGTTTGTGAGTTTCCTTGGTTGATGAATTCGTTGGCTTTGGTAACACTCGTTGAATACGATTCTTGGGCCTGGGGAATGATGGTATATCTTTCTTCGATGGTTTCTACTTGTCCTGGGGTGCCGTGGATGCTTGGTGGTTGTTAAGCCCAGCTGCATTTGCGTTGTTATCTGGCATTACGACAGTACCTCTTAAGTACTGAGAATTAAAAGGGATAATTAAAAGGTGGAAATATGTAGGAGGTCACCTAAAGGTTTTCATTTTAAGGTTGACAAGTATTGTTTCAGTATGTCTATTATTTCAGTATAAAATATTAAAGTTTTTCATAGAAAGTTGAATAAAAACGGACACTTTAAAAATATATAGTTTTTCCTAAATAGGTTCCAATCATTCCTAAATAATCGATTTAATATCGAGTTTAAATAACTTTATATTGCTTAGATAAGAAATCGATTTTATTTATAATTGTAAATATGTTAAGTTTCACATTTGATATTATTGCGATATTAACTACGCCCTTTTATTTTCAAACATATAATTTTTATTTACCTAATAAAGAGTTAAGGATAATATAATGCAAAAAGTAAATAAAAATTCTAACTATTTTCTCTTCTTGTTACATTTTCTCATACATTTTTCGTTTTATTTTCTACCTTGATTAAAAATTAATATAATATAAAAAATATTATCATTTTTCCTTTGTTTTCTAAATACTAGTAATTTTTGTAATATAAATTAAGAATAAATATTTATCTATCTAAAATAAATAGTTATGAAAAAAAAATCAAATTAAAATCAATAATTTTTATTCATAAATATTTGTATACTGAAACTAATTTAAATTATTCCGCCCTTGATAATGTTTTATTTACCGTCAGTTTTGTATACAAAATATACATATATATGTATACACACAGATGCAGTATAATGTACGAGTATACAGAATGAGAACCAAAGTTATATATATTTGTATATTTGTATGTGATTATGTTTTGTTGTATGACAAAAACCAATGAAAGCAATAGATGTATCATATATGTTGTATGAAAGTGTATGTAAACGCATTCCTTTTGTATGTTTACTATTGTACTCACTTGTTGATTACTTATGTACTCTATTTACCATATAATGTATATAAGCTATGTAACTATATAAATATGATTATGAACCTGTTGTCTCATGTACACTGTAGTTGTTTGGAATTCGATGTTGAATGTACATATAAAGTTTGAAAAGAAAATGTAATAAATATTATGTTACCGAATATATGTGTTTTATTTAAACTTATTTAATTATTTAAATAATGTTAAAAATAATGATAATTCATATTATGAATTTAAAATATCTCTGTTTTATAAAAAATTGAACCTAATTAATTGAAAATTGAATGAAAAATAACACGGATAAGAAAAAATGTTTCGAGGTTTCACATACTTTTAATAAACAACGTATTTATCAGAATAACAATTATAATTTGTATCTTAAAAGTCGTGTTGCGAATTTTAAGAGAATTACCAGTGAATTACGTCGACTGGTTAATTTTTTGCAAGACGAAAGCGTATACGGATCTTATCCGAAAGCGGCAAAACACAAATGTCTCGCCCAGTTATCAATCTGTGTGCGCGCGCGCCGGTCCGCTCATGCGGTTCTCATAATGACCGCAAAAAAGACCATAGACTTGGACCATATACTAACAGAAGTGGGGGAGTTCGGTACATATCAATTAAGGTTACTTTCCTTAGTTTTGGTCGCGATTATTTTCTCAGCAATTTACAATAGTCAGTATATTTTCGCTGTTTCCGATTTACAATACAGGTAAGTTATTTGATAGTTTTTCTTTTTTTTTATTAAATCGCGATGGTAGAGCGGTATTATCAAATAAAAAGTTTAAAAAAAATTACATTATTCTGAAAAAAAGCTTAATTTTGGTCTACGATTTTTAAAGGTTTTTAAAGTATAAAACAGCAATAACGTTTTAAAGACCCATTTAGTTTTAATGAAATTTGTTTAAATCGGAGTTAAACGATAACAAGAAGAGATAATTGTTTGTTGATGATTACTTTAAAATCAAAGAAAATATACCCTAAAATGAGCTTTTGTTGCGGTCTTTAGCCCGCTAAGGGTGCCTATACATATAGTAAAAGTCACATTCTCTAGTAGTACGTAGCCTATAAATTAGCGTGTCACCATCTTAAAGAGCCGGCAACGCATCTGCGGTTCCTCTGGTATTGATGTCCATGGGCGTCGTTGAACACCTCGGTATTCCCGCTGCTCGTTTGCCCCCTATTGTTATAAATATATATATATAATTGCAAACCAGTAAGGATAGTCAGAGATATTAATTATTTTATTTTTACGTGTATTGAGAGAATCTTTATCAAACATTTGTATAGGCAGTCTCTATGCAAAATAGTATCTAGTAATCAAACTGATTAAATAGATATTGTAAAAATTAGGATAATATATTGCATATCTATAATCATACGATATTGATATATCAATTTTTAGGTTAGTGATTGACTACAGTTAATGAAATTTAAAAGGAATCTTATATTTCCTGCTATGATATAAAGCAAATATAATATTTATGCTTCTTAATAATTAATTACAGATTTAAATTTAAAAACATGTCAAACTTTTTCATACAACATCTTCCGTTTTACCTGAACTGTCGGACTGTTGATAACTGTGCAGTTAAAATTTAAGGCAAAAGCAAACTTAAATCTTTTATACGTCCAATATTTGTAATCGACTAGATTCATTCATGTTATTAACTAGATTAATTCAACATTTAATGTCATCAGCTTTTTTTAGGGTTCCGTACCTCATTGGAAAAAAACTGAACCTTTATAATATTTTAATTAATTATCAATACAATTTTATATTAAATATTATTAACGCTACATGAGCTGGCTTTACAATCTCAAAAGTATAAATAAAAATGAAAATTTTATTAAATTACAAGCAAGAAAAAAACATTCAAATTTTTATTTATTTATTACCTGCCGCCCGTAACTACGCCTGCGCGGAATTAAAAAAGGTTCTTGACAGATAGACGGACGGACAACAAAGTGATCCTATAAGAGTTCTATTTTTTTCCTATGAGGTACGGAACCCTAAAAAACCTAACTCAGTTCTACATTAATTTACTAATGATTATCAAAAATATAGAAGACAAATTATTGTGAAGGTATATTTATGAAGGTTTTTATTGGCGATACGTTTTTTGGCAATTGCATCAGAGGTCAATCTGGTCAAACGGGTTGTTTACTTTTTGATTTTAAAAGAACGAAGGTCGCTACTAAGATCCAAACTTAGGTACACTTTAAATTTAAAAACTTGATTGTGTAAAGCGAAAAGAAAACAGACGTAATATAAAAAGTTGTTCTAAGTTTGTTAAATTGCCAACTTAACTGAAGAGAACATCCAAGAGTAGATAAATTCGACCTGAACTCAGTGGTCTTGATTATTTAAGGTCCCACTTAAAAATATTGTCGGGAAAAAACTGCAATAAATGCCGATCGATTCGGTCGATGTCCTTAAGACTTGATTAAGGAAAACTGTCGAGTATTAAAGAATTTATAATAAGTTTCAGATTAGCAATGACATTAGCAATTGCTATTAAAAGTAATAGGTACACCTAAGTGAAGAATAAATAACAATTTAAATATAAATTTGCGCGTGTAACTAATAGGTAGTAGAACATAATTACTGCTTTGTTAATAATACGTCATTAACTCAACCACGTGTATGTACATGAATCTTACTAATATTATAAATGCGAATGTTTAGATGGATGGATATTTGTTACAAGGTATCTCCAGAACGGTTGCCTATGGTTGCCTTTGGTAAACGTATAGAGCAGAGTGTGGAAGAATACATAGCCTACTAATTATGTTTTTAAATTCCGCGCGGACGGACTTGCGGGTGACAACTAGTAAATAAATAAAACAAACATTAAAACTTTAAGAATTTACAATTAATAAATTTTTAGCTTAATAATAATGTTGTTCACGTGATGTTATGGGATTATGAAAACTATAGAAATTAATCGTCATTTAATTTAAAAAAATGAACTCTGGTTTTTAAGAAATTTTTATCTTCTCTAATCTCTAAAATCAAAACTACAATGTTGCGTCTTTTACTTCAAACATCTTTTAGTTATCTGAAATAAACCAATCTCGTATCTAACATATTTAATGTTAACTTTGGAAAAAAATGATTACTGTAATAAAATCTAATGGAACAATTCATTGTATTAATATAAGAGAGTTGTGCGATTCTATTATCTTACCAAACTTTTGTATATTTACAATGAGCGTGCAGGAAGCGACACTTTTTTATTGATCGACATTCTTCATTCGTACGCTCCATTGATTTATAAAAGATTTCCTGCTCAGTACAAATGATCAATGCAGATAGCACTGGTGAACTACTACGTTAGAGTTTGGTTAGTATATTGGACTAGCCGCCGCCTGCGACTCCGTCCGCGCGGGATAACAAAATGTATATTAGCCGATACTCAGACGTATTGAATGCTGATTGCCGTTTCGGAGGAGTATGGTAACTTTGTGACACGAAAATCTTATATGAATAGATTTAACTAAGAATTCTAGCTTTTGTTATAGTCTAGGTCTGTTTTTCTTAATGTAAAAGATATACATTTGTCCCTAATTTCCTCTCGGCACCTTTTCAAATTTGAGTATTGTTACTTCACAATTTCACTTCGAGTAAATAAATTAACATAGTGATTGTATGTATTTCCTGAAAACCTTTTCGATATCTATAAAAACAATTGACTGTCGACATTTTGTCATGCAACAATAAATTATCGAGACTGACTGGAGTTGTCACTAGCACTTATCCTGTAATTAACCTTTCGAAAAAAATCATCGGCTTATTTCTTGTAGCAAAAGTTTATTTTAAAACTTCCTTCTTATCTTACTTATTTTGTACATGCGAATTTTAAAATGGATGGATGCCAGATGATGATTGATCTCCATAACCGCAACATGGATCTCGATGAATAGTCTAGAAGAACACATAGACTTCTGGGTCTGGACGGAGTCGCGGGCGACGGCCAATATTTGATACATGTAACCAGTATAATTTAGTAAAAATAAGCTTATGTAAATAATTTATTTCGTATAACGATTTACTGACAGTTGTGGTTTATAAACTGTCGGTAAAACAAAAAGCAATCATAGATTTATCGCATTGCTATTGTTCTTATTGTTTACAATATTGTGTATACATACAATGTATTAGCCTGAATATCCACTGAAAAAAACACTTGTACAAAAACATTTAATAATTCATCTCATTCTTGAAAAACAGATGTGTTTGTTAAATGAGTTATTCTTGAATACATTTACTTATTAAAATCGTAAACAAAAAATAAATTAATAAGTAAGAAACAAGCAATAACTGAGAGCGTCGGTGGATTACGGGTTTCAGCACTTGACTTGTAATCTGAATGTCCTGGGTTCGAATCCCGCCATGTAACAATGTGTTTTTCGATTTATAAATGTACATTCCTACCGGTGAAGGAAATCATAGTGATGCAACCTGCACATATCTGAGAAGAAATTCAAAGAATATGTGTAAAGTCAACCAACCCGCACTGGAGCAGCGTGGCTTACTATAGCCTAGTCTCTTCTAACTTAGGGTAGGATCCGAGGCCCTCAGTGGGGACGTATAGTGAGCTGATGATGGGAACAATTCAAAATGTCATTATATTGTTGTATATTTAACAAAAGAAGAAAAAATATTTCTTCTTGTAATCTGCCCATTTGATTAAATAAAATCTTTTAAATAATATTTTAAAATCCTTTTTAATGAAATGTAAAGCTGTCGCATGAGTTCCTTGGTTAAGTATAACTAAATAGTTAAGTTAATTTAGGTTAAGTACACCATTAAAATTATCTTAACGTCAAGGAATGTATAGGACTTGGTTTTATATTTTTGTGGGGGGTTTCTAATTAGTTTTATATTTTTAATAGCTGTCTTTGACGTTTTCTACACCTTTGCCAAATTTCAGCGTAATCGATGTAACCTTACTAGATATATCTTCTAACAAACAACCATCCAAACATTCGCATTTATAATATTAGTAAGATAGGGTTTATGTTTGTAGCATTATGCAAATCAAATACGTTAATCAACCTTCTTTGATAATTACGATATTTTATTGATGTAAAAAGAAATGTCTATTCTAAAATGACATTGAACTTGCACGATGTCTGTCAGAAAAATAACTATTCAACAAATAAGTATTCAATATAATGATAAATGAACGTGTTTTATTACATCTATATAATACCACGTTCACAAAAGTATAGACTTTAGTACTAAATGTTCACCGACATTACTTATTTAGTGCCATCTGTAAATTGTTGACTATTGTTCATAGTGTGTTAAAAAGTGCAAAGTGGTATGGTATTTGCTAATAGAATTAAGTGAAAGCAAGACAAACGGACTACATAGGTTTTGCATTACGGTTTTATCTTTGCAGGCATAAACATATATTATATTATTTAAAAATCACGGCTTCGTTCACGTATACCTCGGTGGAGGTACCGATTAGTTTTAGACCCGTCGGACCTCGAGTCTTTTTATGGGTGATTGAATCAGTGGACTATATTGAACCGGGCACTAAACGTCACACAATTTCTCAAGAAAGTTATATAAGTTAATAGCTATAATAAAGTTTAATTAGGACACAAAACTAGTTTTGTCACAGGTTACGGTTTGCTGTAGGGTCAAAACTGTCATGCAAAACCTAAGGTATGTGGTCTAAATTACTCTGAAAACAGTACTGCAATGTCCACTTCTCTACCTCACAGTTTTGTGTGCAATTAGCATTAGTTGAAGTTGAAATGGCTTATACCCGTGATGGGTCAAAACAAGGAGAACATAGATGTGGGCCACCTTCTGGAGGAGGTGGGTCCGGTGGGGCATTACCAGCGAAAGATGTTGCTAAGAATCATGGTGCCGATACTCTGGTGTGGTACCATCAGCACTCAGTACGTGTTCAATGCTATGGCAGCCAAAAATAGGTGAGCACGGATCATGTCACCGCGTAACTGTGAACTTCATTAATTTGTAATCTGACTAGCAATTTTTTTTTAATGTTTTCGTTATCTGAATTGTCTACAATTTATCATATCAACAGCTAATACAGACGTGCAAATAGGCATTTTAATTATAACAAATGTTTATATTTTGTCTCTGTTTATGTAGTTCTTTTCTTCAGTTTACTTTTATCACTTTATTTATCTTGTAACAATGTACAAGATAATTATTTGTACATGCGGTAGTTTGGTGGCAGTTAGAAAATCCCTGATAAGATAAATCAAGTGCATATTTGATAAAATGTTTTATGACTTAATATCACTAAGTATTAGGAAAGTCGTAGTTAAGCAATTAATTAAATAGCCCCCAAAGATATCCTGAAAAATTCAGTTTCCGCCATCTTAGCTGAAATAACAAGTTTTAAGAAGGGCTCAACCTACCCTAAGTTACAAGTTACTAAAGATTAAATCAACCCAAATGACTTATTGTAGTTTGTTTGAGTTTACATACCTTTGAATTTATACGGAATTTTCCCTTTATAGTTAGAACATTATGAGCATATCGGTGATCGAACCCAGGCTTACTCTAGTGTACAACCACTGCGCTACCGGGCGCTCTGGTACTTCGTATCTGAAGCAACATTGTAATGTATCTTATCCGCGAGAGGAGCCTGGATTAGTGAACAGTACAAGTCATTGAGAGTCAACAGGGTTATTGTGACAACGTAGTGATTACGATTATTAACATATCAAATGTTTCACATTCGAAAAACAAATTCACGTGTTTAAATTTGAATAAAAATTCACTTCTTTCGTTTATATGTGAAGGAAAGGGCAATGGTTGTAGCATGTACAGTCAGCCACATGCACGTATACGTTTAAAAATTTTTAGCAAGTTACTAGCTGTCGCTCGCGACTTGCAAAATGTTAGCCGATTCTCAGACCTACTGAATATGCCTATAAAATTTCATAAAAACCGTTTGTGACGAGTATGTTAAGTAACATTTCACATACGACACGAGAATTTTATAAGGAAAATTAAAGGCCATCGGTATCAAAAATAAGTTTGCATGTCTACGTCAATAACATGTATTAATTGTTTGAAGTACAGAAACGCATAAGTGCATTAATATTTTTGAAAACCAAGGCGCATATATTTCTAAAGCTTCCCTTATGTATATTTATGCAGCTGACTGTATGTACATTAGTGAGTTTGCTTTGCCGAAACACATACAGAAAACATCATTTCTTTGCAAAGGGAATGTAAAGACAATATTATTATACACGTGTTTCGGCAGTGACTCTTGTAACGTGACGACTTGACCGATTTATGTAGAGAGGTGTCATTCCAATTGATTTTCTCAACGATTTGAACCACTTACATGAAATAGATAAAATAACCTTAAGATTGTACTGACGTATTAAATGTAATCTGTTCAAGTGTTAGGATGTCCGACAGATTACAAAAGATATCGTCAAACTTGACGAATGTTTAGCTGTCTTAAATACACCCAAGTCTTCTGTGCGATAAACGAATTCGATGTGTTATCATTACTTTAAATTATTCATACTGAATATGTTTTGTTATCCAAAACTAGATGTCGCTCGCGACTCCGTCCGCGGGGAATTAAATAAAAACTTAATAACTAGCTTATGTGTTCTTTCAGGCCATGTTCTATATTATGCCAAATTTTAGCGACATGCGTTCAGCCGTTATAATATTAGTAAGAAGTAAGATTTAACTTATCAAAGCTGTAATATACAGACTTTTTCCACTAAGTATGTCGACTACTTTTGTATAGCAGTCGGAAGCGACAGTGGAATTAATAAAATTAATGTTATTTCGTTTAGGAAAATATTATATGGAGTTAAATAGTTCAGTGTAATAGATTCGACAAAAAAAGCAAAGACTTTTGGTATGAACACTATAAGTTACGAAGCATCGTAGGGTACGGATATCCGACCACGTGGTCGAGGGTTCGAACTCCGACTATAATGATTAGCTTACCTTTCCCGAGCCTAGAGTTTATTATAATAGTTACAAGAAATATTAGCAGATTTCAAATAATCTGTTAGTATTTGTAAAAGTTGTGTTGTTTCTTGATATGCAAAGAACATCAGGAACCTTGATACTTTTATAAAGGACGTGTTAATTTTCATTAACACTTCCTTTCGCGACGACGTGCCTCTTACAAGGAAAAGGATGATGACTCGCCTTGACACAGTCGTGTGAGCGGTCGCATCCTGCTATCAAATGCTTTACAACCTATTTATATCTGTTGTTTAATACTACTATTATTATTTATAAAAATATATTAAAAGTAACCAATTGTACAATGATTATAATAACGGGAGTGCTGGCACTAAATAATGGGTATAAAAAAGAAAAAAGTTCTATGCCCAAGAATCTATAAATGTAGTTAAAATACTTTATTACAATAGTGTTTGTCTGTAAGATGTATGGTGCCGCAATGCGAGACGTGGCCGGCGGATGTTACGCCGGGCACGTGGGGCGCCTGGGCGCTGACCGACGACAAATGTCGCCGCAAGGAGCCCGTGGCAGACACTTGCAGCGCAAACAGCTTCCACCCCACGAACACACAGCGCTGCGACAAATTTGTCTACGAGCATAATAACACCATTGTTGCCGAGGTGAAAAATTGTTGCTTTCTTACTGATATTGGGTTTTTGAACTTCATCTTGAACCTGATTAGAACTAGAATTATGAGATAATTCGACTTGCTCTTTCACGGAATATTTTTTATTATCTATTATTACTGTTTTTAGCCTTTGATAAAATCTGGAAACATAAAATGTATCCACTTGTATTGAGTCAGTGTGTGTGTGTGTGTAATATAATTTATGATTGTGTTTGCTATCAGTTCAACCTTGGCTGCCAGGAATGGAAGCGCACTATGGTGGGCACCATACACAGCGCTGGGGTATTCGTCGCGCTTCCCCTAACAGCGTATGTGTCTGACACGTGAGTATATCACACGACACTTTTAAGTGATGAAATTATGAACGTCGATATGATTGCCAAGAAAATTATCTTTATATTGTTAAGTTATAAAAAGTATGAAAACAATTTCAGATTCGGTCGGCGCGTGGCGTTCATAATGACGGCGGTGTTTCCTGGCGTAGTAGGACTGGCGCGGTCCTTCACGCAGGACTATATATCCTATATCATTTTGGAGTTCCTAGACGCGGTGGTCGGCGCCGGAGTCTACTCCTCCGGCTTTGTTCTTGGTAACCTTAATTATTAATCGAGCAGCTGAAAATATTTGTACCAGTTAACTATAAAAAATTATGAACCATTTAGATCTGACTTATTTTAAGTAAAGATTCCATTAATTTTAAACTGGAATTATATCCTTTTTTAGCTCTCGAGATGGTAGGTATAAACAGAAGAGTTCTTTGTGGCAATATAATATCGAGCACATTCGCTGTGGGTCAGGCACTCATAGCCCTCATAGCCTGGGCAGTGCCTTACTGGCGAACATTGACAAGAATCATGTACGCACCCTCTCCTTTCTTCATAGTTTACTTTTTCCTCATCGAGGAGAGCGTGCGATGGTTGCTCACCAAAGGGAAGAAGAAGAGGGCGGCCAAAATAATATTTAAAGCGGCCGAGGTCAACAAAAAGAAATTATCCCAAGAGACGATTAGGTTGCTAACTGAAGAAACCCCGGTCGAAATCAAACAGACAGATTCAAGTAATCCTAATCCAGAAAATTCCGAACCAGAAAAGATGCCCGCAGAAAACTCAAATCCAGATAAGAAGGTTCCGGAGAATCCCAAGCCTCCGTCGGTGGTGCTGCAAGTGCTCAAATCCAGGGTGTTGATGACCCGCTTGTGTATATGCGCCTTCTGGTGGGTGACGGTCACCTTCATCTACTACGGTTTGTCAATTAACTCCGTGTCGCTGGCCGGGAACAGCTACATCAACTATGTCTTGACCTCTCTCATCGAGATCCCCGGCTATGCCCTCAGCGTGGTTACGTTGGATCGATTCGGGAGAAAGAAGTCAATCATAACGGCTTATTTCATCTGCGGGATTTCGCTATTTGCACTGCCTTTTATTCCGAAGTGTAAGTAAATTTTAACTTTTTATTATGCTTAGTTATTATTAGTAACTTACTAAGCATTTTCTCGTAGTTTTATGCGAAATTGTCTCAATTTCCGTATCATTCATTCGTATCCCTACTGGTAAACAGAATTTCTTAGTCTTGGGATTAACAAATTGTTCTATCTTGTTAACGCAATCAAATCCGGTGGACATTGTATTTTCGAACATTTCTTTTATTTATTCAGTAGTTAATGTACGACGTTTATATCTTCCCTTGAATTCTGACTAAAATGGTGAGTTCAAATATTTTTTAACCCTGTATATTTTACAACGTCATATGCGTTGCTTACAGCGATGGTGTGGTTGCAAACGTCGCTGAACCTGTTCGGAAAGCTGTGCATTAGCATGGTGTTCAGCAGCATCTACGTGTACACGGGCGAGCTGTACCCGACGGGGCTACGCCACCGTATGCTGGCGGCGTGCTCCATGACCGGTCGCATCGGACAGATGACTGCACCGCAGACGCCGCTATTGGTAATATACATCCCCAGAATGTTATCAAATACATGGATGTAAATTTTAATTAAGTCACCTTAAATTTAAGTCATCAATTTCATATTTAATTTATCTTTTAGATGGCATATATGGAGTCGCTGCCGTATATCTTGTTCGGGCTGATGGCGGGTGCGTCGGGGTTATTGATGCTGCTTACGCCAGAGACTCTGCGGGTGGAGCTACCAGACACTATCGAGCAGGCCGAAAGCATCGCTCCCGCAAAGGAGCGACCCGTCCAACTCGACTGATTAATGTACCCTTGTTGTTAACTAATGTTAAGTGGTATTCCATAGCTCATATATGTCCCCACCGGGAGGAACCCGAACTACCCTAAGTTTTTAAGCCACTGCCAGATATTCAAAAAATTGGTAGAACTGCAGAACTAGCAGCTAAAGGGGTATAATTTCTTATGAAAGAAATAAAGTAGCGTTGGTTTAGAAATACCATGCGAGGTTTTTTCACGTAGTTGCGGGAAGCAGAAATGTTTAAGACATTGGACTGTGGGTGCAATTTGGAACTATACCGTTTTAACCGTAACGTTTTACCGTAAGTGATTGCAAAACTCGAGCGAATACAATTATTGTACAAATGTACTTAGTTATTTAAGGTTACGTATATCTATTGTAGACTTATTATGTTAATAAAATTTTGATAAAGTACTGTATTGTTGACAAGACGGAACAAATTTCTATTACAATGCAATTATTAGTTTATTTCTAATATACCAGTTTGTCATAAAATCATAAATAAAAGTAAGAAGTATCAAGGAAACCTGATTTTGCTTGGATATGATTGTCAGGAATGTTCACTACTTAAACGCCTATTTAAATTTACAAAGCAATCAAACCTATAAAGCGAACGGATATGAACATTGCTCAAAGATTTTTGGCAGGATTTTTTTTTACTCTAAACTACGAATATGTTATTCTACTGCTATTCTATTCTGCTGAACTAATTGTACATAATACTAAGCTTATTTATTTTTAATTGTAAATAAATTAAAGTTGTTTTTTTATTAAATATCTTACCTAATCTTATCATACCTATACCAGAGTACAGACTACGTGTATAAGACGCATGTAGAAGGAAAACTTTTATCTCTCTCTCTTCAAAAAGAAGATGAGGGATGGCAATATTGTTGTAAAACAGGTGTTGAAAACAAAAGCTTCATAGTTATTCTATGAAACACGTGTAATAAATGCACGTGTTTGCATTTATCACATCGCAGACATATTTTAATCTTTTTATTATTACGCTAAATATTAATCTTAAAACCAAATACACTAATTATGATAATAATGTTCATTGTTTTAAATAAACGATTAAATTATAAAGTATTCAATACTAGCGGTCATCCGCGACTTCGTCTGCAATTTAATAAGTAGCCTATAATATGCCCCCGTGCATAAGCTTCCAGTCCAAGTTTCTTCAAAATCGGTTCAACCGTTTTGGAGATTATTCAGAACAGAGGTGATTTTAAGAACTACAGACGGATAGACACAAATCTGTATGTAATATTTTTTTAACATACAGACACTCCATTTTTATAAATATGTCTTTATTTATTTTCATATGAATCTGTTCAAATATTTCGCCACTTCTGAATTCTATTGATTCATTTTTGTTTCCTTTCATTCCTCTTCCCTCTTATCTCACAATGCCACTGAACTCTTGTTATCAGCTTAGATTTAATTTTCAAGTAAATACAAGATTGATAATCCTAGATTGTTTGTTAATCCTTAACCTTCTTTCTGTTTTGTCTGGTGTCTAGTTTGATGGTACGGCCTTGACGCTTTTTTGCTCGACTTGTCAGGTGTACTGCCGTGCCCCCTCATATGTGTTTAGCCGCTATGTCTCTTTGTCCGTTTTTTTAAGGAAAATGTGGGGAAGGAAAACATTTCGTGTGTTTCTTCGTATAGTTTTCTTTTTAAATGACCTTGATTTAAATCGTCAATACATTATCAGGTAAAGTCAATGATATTTTGATAAGATATAAAATATAATCCATTAATGATAGTCAAAATCCAGGATATAGAGATTATGAGTAATGTTTTGGGACAAGTTTCTTGTTATCCTTGGCCTGAAGCGAAGTAGACACTGAACGTCATCATCAACCAGCCCTTATCCCTACGAAGGGTCAGCACTGTATTTACTACTCCTTCATACATCTCTATCAACTGTCATATCTGAATTCATCCTCTTCTTACGCATATCCTCTTTCACACAATCCTTCCATACTTTATTTGGTATTCCTCTACCTTTTTAGCTAACACATTCAACTTTACTATAAAGTAGTAACTAAAAGTATTGACTCAAAAATCACAATTGTAGATTTCATATCTATGAAGAAAATGTACTTAATTTGCGGCAATTGTATACGACTAGAAGTGAATAAACAAACGCTCAACACTCTAGGAATAAATACGAATTAGGCTACAGTCGGGTCTATAAATGTTATCCCCTATTGCCGGGAAAATAATAAAATTTCTATTAAAGTATTTTATTTATTAAGTAGGAAAAGTGAACTGCAAATAACCCTGAAAAAAATTACGTAAAGTAAATAAAAAATATGACTTCTATATCCGCTCTGAACTTCAGTCAAACAGGCATTTTTTTTATATAAGAGAAGGGGGCAAACGAGCAGCGGGAACACCGAGGTGATCAACGACACCCATGGACATCAGCAATACCATGGAACTTGCAGTCATTTTTTCATTATCTTCTTCTATGTAGCTTTTATGAGTTTATGCATAGTATTATAAGACGAAGTAGTCTAAATATTATTTCTAGCCTTGATCTGGAATTTTAATGAATACTTATCAAAAATTATATAAACTTATCGATTAACCTTATAAAATTTATGATTGATAAAAATAATTTGCGTTTTATCAAACTTTATCACTTCCAACGGATTTGTAAGCATAAAAATCATTAAAATGTACTCTCATAGAATCATATATCTCCAACATAATATCTGCGTAGTATTTTATAGCAAATTAAAGGTATGATAGTATATCGCCATTATAGTTAACAAATTGCAATAGTCATTACATAGCTCATTTTAAAACGGCTCGTCGACTTGTAAAGTCTTCGGCCAATTACCTTGAGTGTAGTAGACGTAGTTAATAATGGCTGATAATATAAATATAGTAGAACCTCCTCCCAGGAAACAAAGCGAAGGAGAAGTAAAAAGAAAGAGTGTGGTTAACAAACCATTGGAGTTAGACGATGTTCTGGTCAACGAATTGGGACAATTCGGATTCTTTCAACTGAGGAATATTCTGTTGGTGGCTTTGCCTATCATCGCCTCGGCTTTTATGAGCGAATACATATTCTCGGCGGCTGCAATACCACATAGGTAAGAAGTTAGATTACGTTGTGTTTTGTTTTCTTAATTATAGCTCATGGATAATAACTAAGCAACATTATGTAGGAAACTATACGCATTATTAGTAATTATCGAAATTGTCATAATTGTTTCTATTTACAATTTTCTTTGTTACAATTTGTTTGTGTTTCTTTGCTATAAAATGCATTTGACATTCGTATCGTGTTTAATTTTATGTTTGCTTTGATTCTTTGCAGATGTCAAATACCAGAATGCGGTGAAAATGGAAAAGATTTTGATTACGACCCACATTGGGTTCTGAACGCGGTTCCCGAAACCAGCTCTGGATTTTCCAGCTGTGAAAGATACGCTCCCACAGGTCGGAATGGGAGCTTGCTCTCCTGTCCCGCTAATATCTTCGATAGGCCGAACACCGTCGCCTGTGATGGCTTTGTTTACGCGCGGGATAATTCTGTTGTTTATGATGTATGTATCTATTATAAATCAATTACTAATAAATTAAAATTCAATGTATTCAATCGTCGATTCAAACTTCTTGCTTCATACGAAGTACGAAGTTCTTAAAACTATTTAACTCTATGTTATGCAGAAAAGAAATACGATAAAGATGAAATACAAAAGTACGTTTTAAATTAGGATATTTATCCCAAATTTTCCGGACCGCAAAAGTACATTTCAATGATCCTACGATATTTTATAAAGTTATTGTACTCGCTTAAATCTGTAATTAATGTTTCCAGTTTGATCTTGGTTGTCAAGAATGGCTGCGAGCTTTAGCGGGCACGCTGAGCAGCGTGGGCACTCTCCTCGTCCTGCCCATCACCGGATTCATCTCCGACAAATACGGCCGACGAATGGCGCTCATCATCAGCGTCTTTAATCTGGCTCTTATTGGTCTCATCCGCGCCTTCTCCGTCAACTACACCATGTACCTTGTACTACAACTATTGCAGACTACCTTAGGAGCTGGCACTTTTAGTTCCGCTTATATCTTTGGTAAGTTTGCAATATATTAAAAATTCTCTGTTCCCAAGTAATATATACTAGTTTGTTAGGCAAGATTTGGTGACTTGTCTTTCCCATGAATTACCAAAATTATCACTACCCTGATCCTACATTACAAATTGGACTAAAATCAATTTGTATCTAATTTCAGCGGCGGAACTGGTGGGTCCCAAATATCGTGTGATCACAAGTGCAACGTCGTCCTCAATGTTCGCCGTGGGACAAGTTGTTCTGGGAGGCGTGGCATGGCTGGTGCAGCCCTGGCGCTACATGATCATGGCCCTGCACATCCCCTGTTTCCTCATCATAGTCTACTACTGGATCCTCTCTGAAAGCGTACGCTGGCTATTATCAAAACGCAAATACGTGGAGGCTCGCGCCGTGCTCGAGAATGTTGCCAGAGTCAACAAAACTTTTATCAGTGAAAAGTCCATGGAAGCCTTAATGAATCCTCCACCAGTCACACAAAAGGTATGTTGAAATATAGCATAAATATTGAACAGGACATTGCCATAAAACTACTTCCTAAAAGAGCAAAGAGTGTCAACAACAAACAAAGGTTTGTAAAAAGATACGGAGCGAGATATTATTACATTTTCACAATTCTTCTTCTTTTCATATAGTAATTTTGTCATATACATGATGGCAAAGTAACTTAAAAAAGATACCTTTTTTTAGGTCGAATCTAATATAGTGCAGACAATCTTCAAATCAAGAGTGCTGTTACGTCGGGTATGCACAACTCCTATCTGGTGGATTACGACTACATTTGTCTACTATGGTCTGTCCATCAACTCGACTAGTCTCTCAGACACAATGTATCTGAACTTTATTTTGACCTGCGCCATCGAGATCCCCGGCTACGCCACCGCAGTACTTATCCTTGACAGGATCGGCAGGAAGGCCACACTTTCTGGTGGTTTCTTCCTTAGTGCGGCCTGTAACATAGCTTTTGCTTTTATACCATCAGGTAAGACCATAAAAATCATGAAATTCTTAAATGAGAAGTGATTCTTTGTACCTTAAAATTATTCCTATTGTTAAAAGTATAGAGTATCAAATATTTTTGATATCGTATCATAATTAGCATATAATATGATGTAGATAAAAAATTATCAAGTAGTTTATCTATTCGAGACAACGTAAAAAATGTAAATTGTCTTTATAAGTTTTGTTCGCGTATCTTTTAAGTAAATGTCAATAATGTATTTCAGAGCTGAACGTCGTTCGGTTGGTAATTTACCTACTGGGTAAGTTTGGTATCTCTGTGGTGATGACGTCACTCTATTTGTTTACGTCCGAGCTCTACCCGACCGAGTACCGGCACACGCTGCTCGCTTTCTCCTCCATGATAGGCAGGATCGGTTCCATCAGTGCTCCGCTTACACCCGCACTGGTGAGTTACATTAATTCTAGAAGAAGAAAATAATCAATTAACACACACTCACGCAAATAACACACACACACACATTAACATTATTAGTTTACTTGACATCTGCTGCGATGAAAGCTGGAATTATATTGGTGAATCTTGTAAGCTTGAAATATCTTAGTGATTCATTAAGGGTGAAATGGAGAAGACAATACTTCTCCTCAAAAGAGTTATGTTTTCATTTTATACAAATCTTTATAACAAGTCTCATTCCAAAAGCTTATTCACGTCGAACCTTTGTACTGTAATAATAATTTTACCATGTTTTCCAGATGGAGTATTGGAATGGTATACCGTCCGTGATGTTCGGTGTGATGGGTCTGCTCTCAGGTCTGCTGGTGCTGACGCAGCCAGAGACCCTGGGCACTAAAATGCCCGACACCCTCGCGGAAGCGGAGGCCCTCGGGAGACCCGAGTCCAAATTACAAGGAAATTAACTTATGGATCTGACTAGAAGATAGTTTTAAAGATATTGATGTGAAGGTGCTCGAAAATATGGTCTGTAGTACCAGAAACCGTAATAAATCCTCCTTGCAAATATTCATTACAAAAGGAATAAAAAAGTAAATAAAAGTTATTCGACGTCTTTTTGACCTTGACATTAAGACCGCGTTTTGTATTTCTAATGTTTCTTGTTTTCAAGTTTGTTTATTTTATTTTATTGTTCGTGAACATTTTTATTAATTGTTAATTATTATCTTGTTTGTTATTTATAATAATTTTTAATATTGAGTTTTTAATAAATTATTCTTTACGATAATTTCTTTTATTTATATTTCTAATTATGAGAAGAACCCGTGGTAAAAGGAAACGCCTTTTTACTATCTGTTGCACGCGACTACGTTCGTACGGTAAAAATAAAGTATCCTGTATTCTTCTACACTAAGATCTATGTACATCTATGCTTAATTTCAACGAGATCCGTTTAGTCGTTCTAGAGGTCTTCAAAAAAACTTTCATATTTATAGTGTTAGTAAGATTCATAATATGATGAAAAAAAATTATTTGTTAAATTACAATAATAAAAAACCTACGGTTAATGATTTTAAACTTTGATTTGAGTTATTCAAACTTTCGTGAGACATTATACTAAACTGATATATAAACACGGCTAAACACTCACGTATATACGTCCGGTGAGCGACGGGCCGCGTCCGCGAAATAATACCAGTACCACTCATCCTGATGAAGGACCCCCGATGGGCTCGAAACTAGTCGGTGCCGCCACCGGACGTAAATACGTGAGTGTTTAGCCGTGTTTATATATCAGTTTTGATTTGAGGTTATTATAAAAAGTTTATTTTTTATTAAAATTGCTTAATACTTTTCATTGGTTATAAACTATTTGAAATAATTCTAGGCATACGTAGTAGTATAGAATAAAGCAATGAATTAGTTATATTGACATTATTAAGATATCAAGAACATTACAGTGTATTGTGTGTTCTTGTATACCGTAGGTTTTCACTGCTGTAACATGTACAAAAATATATTGCTATCTTTGTTTTAGTTAAAGAATAAAAAGGAGAATAAACTTTGTAAGTTTTTGCTGTGGAAGCCCACGGCTATATAAACTGTTTGGTGGAGACGCATTGCTCACATGTTGCTCACATTAATACATATAACAGAGAAATAAATTACCTACATCATTGAATTAAAATAATTATATTGGCTAAAAGTGGTTGTATTTTATCTTCTATGGTAGTTTATGGTTTGGATAGTGTAAAGTTAAGTGAATGATATTAAAATTCGAACTGTTTTAATTACGTGTAAGTAAGCAATATTTTAAACAATAATTATTAATTCGTTTTGGAGTTTAGTTATTGGAGTGAATAAAGTTTTGAAAGGCCAATTTAAGATGATGATCAAGAGTGATATGGTAAAAAGTGTCAGTCTTACTAATAGTTGGTTTCTGAGACCAAAATCTTTGTATAAGACATATCGTCATCCATGTCACTATCTTTGACAAAATAGTCTCAGAAACCTACGATGAATCTAACTTATATGATCGCTACCATGTTACAACAGCTTATAGTTTTATTCTATTTAATTGTTTGATTATGTTTATTTATTATTAGTGTATTTTTAGTAGAAATTTAGAACTATTTAATTTAATCCTCCCAAGTAGGGTTGGCGACAGGCCGTAAAATGTCAATCATTAAGGTTTATAAAATCTTGTGTGGCAACCCTACGTGAGGGATAAGGCTAGGAAGATGATAATGATAACTTTGTGCTATTTCCTTAGTATACATAGATGCATAAAAAAATGTTAAAAGCAGTGTGCCAGGATTGTAATGAAAGTCAGTTTTGTACCAAATAGATGGCATACGAGCAAGTTCATATGGAAAATTTGTTTTTGAAATCTCTCCAATAATGGATTGAAGTGCTTTATAACTTACTAGCTGTCGCACGCGATACCGTCCGCGCGGAATTAAAATAAACTTAGTAGCCTATGTGTTCTTCCAGACTCAGTGAGATTCAAGGAGCCGTTCTGGAGATACCCTTTAACAAACATACATCCATCTGAACTCTCGTATTTATAAGTAAGAAGTAAGATGCAATATATTTTTCTATGAATTCTATTTAAGAACAAGATCTTATACTTACATAAATAAGACTTCTTGAAAGAGCAAGCTGCTGTTATGAACTGGCACTACCTTCTTACGTTCATATGTCGTGTTTCATTTGATAATTTATCAAATTGATGGATATTAAGCCTTTGTGATTTTTATCTTGGAACATAAATAACTAATAAATATCTTTAGAATTAAAATTGTTGGGGTGCTTATTTTTTTTAATAAAATAGATTAATTAATAATAATTAGAATCTTATCCTAATAAATGGATTAATTTAGAAGCCTACTGATTTAACTTTGATAGATAACAAATATATTTATAAGTTTTAAATCGGATTATAATAATAGACTGTTATAATATCTATTTTTTTAACTGATCGGTAGGTTTCCTCTACCATCTTTATTTATTGCACATGAATGAGAGGGATGACAATACGTTTTATGCAAGTGTTTTGTTTGTCAAAACAAAAAAACTAGCTGAATTAAAAGTATTGAAGTAGTGAAATAAGTAGTCATTGTATTCTTCCAGGCTATTGTTTCAATATATAATTATACAAAACATCCATCCATCCAAACATTCGCATTAGTAAGATTTAAGAGTAAGGCAATTTTGTTATGGCGGAGTTACAAAGTTGTTTACTTATTAAAAAAAATCCTGGTGCATTAGAAATACATTTCTTTGTTTTAAATAATACATTTACTTAAAATTTTCCAAATTTAAATTTATTAATAATTTATTTTTTAGCATAAAAGTTTTTTTTTAACTTAATCTGTCGATAGCAATCAAAGTGATGTCAACAATAACGATTAATTAAATTAAGCTGTTTACAGATAATAATTATCTGATATTCATTTCGTTATATTATTTTTTTATAATATTTCAGACACCTGCTGCAGTTTTAATAACTTAGTCTGTTTGTTAATACGTTAGTTGACACGTTTTTATACAAATATGTCAAAATCGAATAAAGATGAACCCGAACATCTACAAGACAAGCCAATTGACCTGGACAGCGTCCTTGTTAACGAACTCGGTCAATTTGGTAGATTTCAATTCAAGAACATACTGCTTGTATCAATTCCTATTCTTATGTCTGGATTTATGAGCGAATACATTTTTTCGGCTGCTGCTATTCCACACAGGTAAACATATAATAATATATAATACACATAAAAATATAATCTTTAATTTAATAAGAAGCGTCAATAGCCTAATGGTTAAGGGTACGGATTTCCGACCACGAGGTTTGGGGTTCGAATCCCGCCATTCGACTATTGTCGTAAACCATATCCTAGCACAAGCATAGAGCTTAGTTGGAATGGTAAAAGTAATATTAGTAAATTTACAAAAAAATCTGCTAATATTTTTTTATCAAAAAAAAAAAATATAATTTCGTCTTTTATACTTTCTATAGCTTTCTTGGAGTTAAACAGTACTTTATCTGTTCAAGTTTTTACAATTTTTTTTTATTTTAGCTAATTTTTATTGAAGCGGAAAATACTTTATTTTCATTACATAAATAATTTTGAAGTGCCTAATGGTTAGTACGGATTTTCGATCTCGTGGTCGAGAGTTCGAATTCCGCAATTAGAATATTTTCATAAAATATATCCTAGCACAAGAGCTTAGTTGGAACGTTACAAAAAATATAAGTAAACATAAAAGAAAGTCCTTTGAAATGGACTACAATAGTTGGTTAATTAGTAAATAAATTTTAAAGAAAGCCATTGTTTTCAGATGTCAAATAAGAGAATGCGATGAGAATAGTAGCAATGTTGTTTTCGAGCCGGAATGGATATCAAACGCGATTCCCGAGACTAGTTCAGGATGGTCGAGCTGCGAGCGGTTTGCCCCTACAGGGATCAACGGCTCTCTCGACTTCTGCCCCAGTGATGTGTTCAACAGAGACATTGTCGTCGCCTGCGATAGCTTTGTCTATGAAAGGGATAACTCAGTTGTCTATGATGTAAGTTAAGGTACTTGTAACTAACTACAATTATACTAAGTTTGGAACACTTATTGTAAATTGGCCGTTAATTGCCAAGTTATTATATCATAGTAAAAGGCAGGAAATAAGCAAGATACGGTGATACTAGATACGTTGTCTAATCTTTACGTTGTCTTTAATCGAATGGGAATAGGACGCACAACACAGGATATTTCTCCTCCTCTGTCAAATCCACTTCCATTTCAAACTTAGAGGACCTCTTGTCCTCCTTATTTTAAGACTTCGGGAAACGCACTCATCAGACGAAATGCGGAATTGTTTCCTCATCACGTTGTCGTCTGTTTGGTTGTGTTACACCGATCGAGCGGGCCATTTGTGCAATAGATGTTAAATTATAGAGCTCGTAATAACATCGTTATTGGTGATTTCCAAAATTCTCTAACGACAATTCAATCAAAGTAAATGTTGTATGAAATTGACCTCGATGGGTACATCTTATGTTCACGTATCCTTATTGGAAATGCCGGTGCACTTAGTGACCTTAACAAATGATAAAAGTATTAAATATTATTTTTAATATAAATTAATCACGTGCAGTGATTGCATCAATTAAAGATAAGTAAATTTCCAGCATGTGACATTGAGCCAATTCCGATTGTATTTACATGAAATACATCTAAAATTTTAAAATATAACATTACAATAGTAGTACTTGATTTCTTTTTGTGTTTAAGTTCGACCTAGGCTGCCAGGAGTGGATGCGTGCGCTGGCTGGCACACTAAGCAGCGTTGGTACACTCCTCGTACTGCCGATCACCGGCTACTTCTCGGATCGCTACGGCCGTCGACTAGCGCTTGTCGTCAGCGTCTTCAATGTCGCACTCTTCGGTCTCATCAGAGCTTTTTCCGTCAACTACGTCATGTACTTAGTACTGCAGCTGCTGCAGACAACCTTAGGGGCTGGCACTTTCAGTTCTGCTTACATCTTTGGTTAGTAATAACATAAAAAATTTACTACTCGTATAACCACAAATTACAGATGCTTGATAAATATATAAGTTAAATTATCAACACACTTTTAGGCGCTGAATTGGTTGGGCCAAAGTATCGAGTACTGATCGGTGCGTTCACAACGTCTATGTTCGCGGTGGGTCTGATGGTGATAGGCGCAGTATCCTGGGCGATCCACTCCTGGCGGCACATGATCCTGGCCCTACACGTGCCATGCTTCCTTATCATATCATACTACTGGTTCCTGGGAGAGAGCGTAAGATGGCTGATCTCCAAACAGAAGTTTACAGAAGCAAGAGCCGCTTTAGAAGAAGTCGCAAAAGTGAACAGAACACAAATTAGTGAAAAATCTATGGAAGCGTTACTTACTCCACCACCAGCTCAGGCAACTTCGACTTCGGTAAGAGTTTCGGCATTTTTTTTTTACACAGAAGAATCATTTATTTTATTTGCGAGAGGCTTTCAATATAATGTATAATTAACGTTACGACGCAGTCTGAGTGCAATTTTCTGATCACATCAACTATCCACAGGACGGTCCAGGATTGATCGGATACATCTTCAGTTCCCGCGTGCTCTTGCGTCGCGTTTGCACCACGCCTATCTGGTGGATCACCACCACGCTGGTCTACTACGGTCTCTCCATCAACTCCACCAGCTTATCTGGTTCCATGTACCTTAACTTTATCCTGACCTGTGCCATCGAAATACCCGGAAACTTCGCTGCTGTTCTGATTCTCGATAGGGTAGGAAGAAAACCTACTTTGTCGGTAGGGTACTTCCTAAGTGCTGCATGTAACTTCACTTTTGCTTTCCTTCCCAGTGGTAAGTGAATTTGAAAACTAAAATTACAAACATTTTAAGTTACCTTTTAAATTAATATATTTTGTTAGTGGTCTATTATAATTGAAAATATCTTCTTTTTGTTCTCAGACCTTAACGTTCTGCGGTTAGTTATATACCTTCTAGGAAAGTTCGGAATCTCTGTGGTGATGACGTCACTCTACGTGTACACATCGGAGCTGTATCCGACAGAGTTCCGTCACAGTCTCCTTGCTTTCTCCTCCATGATTGGCAGGGTAGGGTCTATCTGCGCACCGCTCACGCCTGCTTTGGTTAGTATCATAGAAAACGATGTATTTCATCATATTAAAATAATCATTATCAAGGTTGCTGTAAAATTGGTAGTTCCAGTCAGCAAAAGAACAAGTAGACCGCAATATACTGTTATGAAGTCAATGAGATTTACAAAGACTTTTTATTAAATGCCTTCTTTATCTTAGATGGTGTACTGGGCGGGTATACCTTCAGTGATGTTCGGAGCTATGGGTCTACTGGCAGGTCTCCTGGTATTGACGCAGCCTGAGACACTTGGCACCAAGATGCCAGACACGCTGGCGGAGGCGGAAGCGCTTGGGACACCGGAATCCAAATTGTCGAAGTAGCATGTCGAGTCTATATCAAGTATATACTACTTGTTAGTGATTTAGTTAAGGACGTTAAAGTTTGACGAAAGTATGCAGGTGTTTACTGAAAAGTAAAGGAACTTTTGTAGAAACAAAAGAATTGTTTCAGGTATTAATGATCTAGTTATATATTAAGGACTTTTACATAAATAAAGTTTTGACAAACACTAGACGAAAAATCTGGTAAATAAGTTCTTAAATATTGTAGGAATAGAAATAATATTGTGATTATTTAATTAGTATTTAAGTATAGAAAATAAATATTTATTTATTAAATACAAAACGTATTTTTATTTAATTACAAGCCCATTAATATATTAACTATCACATCGTTGTTCTATTTCCTAATTATTATTGTCACCGAATTATTGTAGGAGCACACATTATCGACTAACTGCTGCCTGCGACTCTGTTCGTGTATACTCTCTATCTGTTTCAAATTTCATCAAATTCCATTCAGCAGTTCATACCAAAACTTACTTAACATTATAAATGCGAAAGTAACTTCGTCTGGCGTGACTTCACGGCAAAATTACTGATTTAAATGGAATTTGGTACAGTTGGACAGCGAATTTACATTAAAATATTAGTATATGTTGTATAATATTAGTATTTAGTAAAAAGTAAGATGAAGAATTATAATATTTGTATGGGGGCTTGACTACCTTATCTTTGCTTGGATCTGGTTTCAAATAAACGACACACCTGTGATTATTATCAAAACACAGCGTTGAAATTACTAACATAATAACTTAATCAATCAATACAATCAGTAGTTCACGTGGAAAACGTGCACTGAATTATAATAATACGCAGCTATTATAGGTAAATGTAATCTTACTTATAAATGCAAATATTTGGATGTATGGATGGATGTTAGAAGGTATACAGAACGACTGAAAGGATCTCCCAGAAATTTGGCATAGATGTTGGAACATAGTGTGGAAGAACACATAGGCTACTGATTAAGGTTTTTTTTTATTTCTGCGCGGAGCTGCGGGCGACAACTAGTCTATTATGTATTTTTACATGTACATGGGTTTAATTTTTAATGCGGGTGATAGTGATGAATTATTATATCCTTTTACAATATGATTTTCTTTGATTTACTTTCATCAACTTTTTAAAAATTGGAACTCCGTAGGAGAAATGAAGATTTTTTAATTTCCACGGATCCAAATAACTAATATGTACTTTCTGCCTGACAAACATTTTACGAAAATATAAATCACAATACGTATTTAATGAAAATAAATACTTTATTTGGTACAAGAATTAACATATTTTACAATATCTTACTAATTACAGTTAAATCAGTGCCAGCCGAATATAAAAATTTGAAATAACCATAAAATAAAACTTATAGATGGTGTGTTTCATATAAATGTGACATCTAATCGTGAGACCATTTTCGAAATTCGATTTCGAACACTGAAGAAAATAATTAAAACAAAAGCGTACGAAGGCCACTTCGCTTCAATTACTCCTTCTGTGTATGCAGGTTATATATCTATGTGTACATATGCACTGGCATAAAAGAATATTTTTGAGCAAATTAAAAAAAAAGTTTATAAGCAATTTCTATTTTTGTCATTTTGTATTCGAAAAATGCATGCGCGACTACAAGGGAAAGAAATAAACTTATATAATGTATCACATTTAGCTTTTATTATTAATTATTTGCCTATTTGAAATATTTATTTGGTATTCCAATTAGAATTGTGTTATTTATACTAATAAAATGTAAATTAAATAATAAATTTAAATTTTAACCTATTACGGCAAATTTATATTTACGTTTACTTTCCTATATTATAGATAAGATTAGTAAATAAAGTTAAATTTGTTACAATGAGATTCCTTCTATATCTTATATAAAATTATCTAACAAACTTATAAAATAACACAGCTTATATGGAAATACATTGTTTTGTAACAAAGCGAGTTTATTTATCTACACTGTACACTTAAATATCGTTTTATTTCACACTTATTGTCTATTTCACACTGTATGACGTCACATAACACTTGATGTTCATTTTGTTCATTTATTTTCGGTGAGATTTTTGCGACAAGGCATAGCCAATACACGACAACAGTGAGACAGAGTAGTAGACACTGCAGTACTACCACTCACTAAACAACAAATTTGATGTCAAAAGAATACTGTTCTGTCCTACTCAGCGGAACTATCGGCAATGTTAGGAAGTCGTGACTCCCTCCAGTTGCCCTGATGAGTCGGGTGACTCATCGAGTCGTTCAGCATCAGCGACCCGGTCCGGCAACGGCGTCCGACTGGTGTCGGGCAGTAGCAGCGCCAGCATGGCAGGGCCTAACGCCACTAAAGCGAACACCACGCTGGGTAGACCAGTCATATATTGACCCTGGAAGTAAAAAGTTATCAAGTTACGTCCAAACACACAGTATGTAATCATGAGTATACTAAAGAGTCGAAATAATATTTAGTTGAATCGTAGAGTATTCAAGCTAGTGTTTAAAACTTTACTTATCAGGTTGCTTCTGAGCAAAGGGAAGCACAAAACAAAGAGGGATGACAATGCACCGTTTATGATTTTTTTTTTATCATAAGGTGGCAATGACTTTACTACATCGAAGAATAAAGACATACATCAATTATGATAGTAATAAGATAAAGATATACCAGGAGCGGTGCTTGTGGCGCGATCACGGATCCAAGACGGCCGACTGTGTTAGCGACGTTGGTGAGGGAGTTGCGTGATGTGGTGGGGAACACCTCCATTGTCACCACAAGCATGGAGAACAGCCCATAGCTGCTACACATCTTGCCCGCCAGGTAGAACACGATCGACGCCCACCACATTGCTGTTACAATGGTAATGAATTAAAAAACAAAATAATGACTTTAGTACAAGATAATCAAAAGAACAACGAACAAAATAGTCGTGTTAGTCGAAATGTTCAGCACCAGTGCTTCTAAAAAATAAAGCGCCCGCTTCTCATCCAACCCCTTTCCTTTAAGTCACTGATGCCTAAAACATTAAAGATAGCAAGAAATCAGGAAAAATAATATTTACTTACATTTAGGTACAAACGCCGAAGCCATAAAGAACGCAGCACAAAGACAGTAGGCGACACAGATGGGCGTCTTCCTACCGTATCTAGTGAGAGTGAGCGCCGTAATAACGCGCGTGGGAACAGCCACCAGCATCATGGCGGAGAAGTTGAGGTACTTGTTGCCGGAAATGCTCGTCGAGTTGATGATGGAGCCACTGTACACGAACATGCAGCAGAAGAAACTGACAGAGATCAGCGCGATGCGGAGAACTATTTTTTTTGAACGCAGCACCGAAAAAATGGGAGGTGGATCCTCAGAACGTGTTTGTACCACCTGAAATATAATATCAAGATTTTTCTATCATTTGGCAGAATAAAAGTTGAGAAGTCAATAAATTGCTTGACACAAAAATTAAGTTAACATACTAGGCGGCAAAGAGAAGCACAAAACAAATTGCGTCCTGGATGCGGGTGGCACAAGATCGGTCATCGTGGCGATCTTTCTGGGAGGCCTATGCCCAGCAGTGGGCGTCTCATGGCTGAGTAGATAGATAGACTAGGCGGCAAAATATTATGATAAAATATTTAAAAATATGGGAGAAATATTTCATTATTAATTTGTTTATCTTCTGGGATTGGTAAAATTATAAGAATAAATAAAGATTTGCAGACAAAATGATCAAATTACCTTGAGAGGATGGATCGCAGATGATCCTGCGCAAGCTTAATGTGAAAACATTCCAACGATGATAAGTTTATATTTAATTGTTTGTTAAACACAGTAACAGTTATATTATGAATAAAGCATACTCGCGATAATCGCACCAGCTGATATAATGTTTGTATTAGAAACTATTAGATAATTTAATAATATTTAGGATTTATGATTACACATACATTTGTCTCAGACAAGAGGTACGCGTGATTCAGGAGTTCTTTACATTCAAAGTCAATTGTTTCATCGAATATATTAGGCTGTTGATTGTTGTATTAAGAACCATTTTAATCATTTAATTATGATACGTTTGATTGTTATCACTTGAGAGAATAGATTACCCTACTTTTATTTTATCTTTTCTTTTAACTGTACGTCAAAATATCTGCACCTTAGGTAATGTCTGGAAAGTAATCCTTTCCTTTTCTTTCTTCAATAGTACGAAGTACTTATAAATATTTGTATGTTACCTGATCAGCTTTACTTCTCTCTTCAGTTATTTTAGTCATCATCGCTTTTGCTTTATTTGATAACGTAATGTTATTGATCTTCGCTACTTTGTTCAGTACTCTGACTGCTTCGTCTTTCTTATTATGAGCTAGGAGCCATCGGACACCCTCATCGACTAAGAATATATAGAAGACAACAACCAGCAGGGGAGCGTATATCGCCCTCATCATGTGCCGCCAATAGGGGATCTTCCAGGCAATCAGCCCGAAGAATGCACCACCGAAGTTTGAGAGGATATCAGCTATACAGGAGTATACTACCCTGCTGTTCTGACTGACTGTTTCTAATGCTGAAATCATTAAATTAGTATAACAACTATTCTAATAAAGTAGTTGCTTAACATATTGGCTGCGAGGATTACTGTACTAACGCTACATCATAGAGGTGGACAGCGATTACGATTACTACTTTATAAGTTTTTAATTATAAACAGATTGTATAGTCGTGATATCAGATCAACTTACATAATACAAGAGATGCGTTCCCGTATCCTAGCGCGGTCTCCATGAACTCGAGTACCAACAGCATCCAGTAGTTAACAGAGAAGGACTTGAGAAGGCCCGCCGCGCCCACCATTAGTGGTGTACCCACAATTATTACTTTGCGACCGTATCTGGAGATTTTATCATACAATTAGTAGACATAATTAAGCGTAAGTAATTTCGATTTTAAAAATACTGTAAAATAATATTACTATATAAACGTACCTGTCCGATATAACACCAGACATGATGAATGAAAAGACAAGTCCCAAGTTATGAACCGTGCCTATCAGAGTTCGCTTCCACGGCTGGCAACCCAGGTCAAACTGAAAATAGACACAAATATTTAATTAAGTACTTAAGCACTTACATTATTAGAATTATATTTTCTTTTCTAAAGTTGAATAATCTACTAATTTTAATTTGTTTAGGAAAAAAAAACAATTTAAATAAAGTACAATAAACGTATGTTCAATTTCAGTGTTTACAATAGTGTGACGTTGTAAATTATTGTGTGTAGGCCATAATCTTGTCCGCTTAGTGTGGCATTTTGTGTGACTACATCTGTGTCAATTTGCTAACATTTTATTTGCACTTTTGTTGACCATGACAATGAATGTTTGCACACGAGTTAGATGACTATTTTTTCATTATTACATTTCATCATAGTAAAAATATATAGAATAGTTGATAATCTGATGAACGTATCATTTGATAAAATTACTAACAAAAATATTAACTAACATTGCAAAGTTTATTAAGTTAAACTGAAATAATTAATTTTGCCAGAAATAATTAGCTTTTAGAGCGTCGGTGGCTCAGGGGTCAAGCACTTGACTTGCAATCTACAGGTCCTGGGTTCGAATCCAGCCTTGTACCAATGAGTTTTTCGATTTCCGATTTACATATGTACATTTATCCGATGCTCTTACGGTGAAGGAAAACATCGTGATGCAACCTGTACATATCTGCGAAGAGATTCAGAGATATCTGTGAAGTCAACCATCCCGCACTGGGTCGGCGTGGTTGGCTATGGCCTAGTCACCCCTAACTTAGGGTAGGCTCCGAGCCCCTCAGTGGGGATGTATAGTAGATTAAGCTTAGTTAATGATTTTAATCTTTATTAATCTGTTCTCACCTCTGCAACAATACTATTGTAGTCTTCATATACAATCTTCTCGCAAGGCATCGTCATTTTCTCATCGAACAACCGCAAAGAGCAGCTACTATTGTCGACCTTTGAATGACTCCACAGACCCTCCACCTCAGTTACATTGTTCTCTCTATGCGGCATTAATCTGTGGCACACTTCAGATCTGTTCGACAGGATCGACGTCACCCAACTCGCGTTGAATCTGATATCCGTTGCTTCACATTCCGGCACGTGACACCTGTGACAATGGATACTATTGGAATCTTCATGTTTTGATATTGAATTAACTAGTGCCAGACCACAAGCAAGCAAGCACTAGTTTACTAAATGCCTATTCACCCTCTTTTTGAAGCACCCATATAGCTGGATTGAAACACTGACGCCAATTAATTTTATAATATACTAAACATATAATATAGTATATCCAGATCAAGAGTAACTTTAGGTATAATAATTAAATAAGTAATATTAAAATATGCAATCGGATATCCAACTTTGGCAAAACTGTCGAGAAAATTAGTTAACAATCTCACTTAGAAATTTTAGTAATTGAGTAATACGCAATATTTTTTATCACCATCATTTGATAAAGTTACAAAGACGATAATGATGTAAAGATGAGATATATCTGAATATAGCCAATGACGGTGTAGGTGACCTCCTACATATTCACTTATTTATCCTGTTGCCGCACTCACCCTTCACATCATCATCACTCGCACACCCCCACACGGAGGTGACATCATGTCACCCCCCTCAACGGTTAAGACTGTCGTGCTCTACCAACCGTAACAATTCTAACATGACCTTTGTATCCATTATTAATTCATTGTCCATATACTTATGTGATACAAAATAACAAAACCAGAAACGCATCAACATGTCAGCAATGCAAAACAAACCAAATAATGTTAAATATTATTTCTTACTAATATTATAAATTTGAATAGTTAGATGGATGGATGGATGTTTCTTTGATGGTATCTCCAGAACGGCTGAATGGATCTCGATGAAATTTGGTATAGATGTAGAACATAGTCTGGAAGAACACGCAGGCCACTAATTATGTTTCTAATTCCGCGCGGACGGAGCCACAGGCACAGCCACAGACAGCTTTTAGAATTAAAATGTTAAAAATTTTACCTATATTAATTAAATTAAAAATTAAAGATTTGGTACTAGAGGCTGATTGTGAAAGCGTATACTCAGTTTTTAAGATATAGAAAATATTCTAAAGCTTATATAAAAGTAAAATATTTCAAACACTATGTATTGTTTCCATTACATAATGTACAGCGACCATATTGCGCTACAATTTTGTAAAACAAACATCAATTATTGTCTCCGACAATTTTATGTGATCATTTGAACTGCAATTTATCTGTCCGTTGCCTCAACTTAGAAACAAATACGATATTCAATAATGCAGTGTAAATTAATGATAGTATGTCTTATATCTTTCAGTACTAAGAAATCGTTTAAAAAGATTATGAATTAACACGCTCGCGTTACCGTGAAATTGCACATTCGTTATATCTATATAAAAAAACTAGCTGTCGCCCGCGACTCCGTCCACCCGGATATAATAAAAAAACGTAATGATCCTATGTGTTTTTCCAGACTTTGGACTTACGGACTACATCTATGCCAAATTTTAGCGAGATCCATGCGGCCGTTCTGAAGATACCTTCAAACAAACATCCATCTATCCATTCATCCATTAACATTTATAATATTAGTAAGATACGATATTTTTTTCCTAATAAGGATGATGCCAATATGAAAATATTTATAGATTTTTGCTGAGGAAACACACAATTAGCGTTATCTGTTACTGCTTTGTTTATTAAATTGTGACACTGCTTTTGCTCTTACTCTTGACACACTGACTCTACTGATCTCTATATGTATAGGTCATTGCATAGAAATGACAGCTTTTTTTTGTTCCGTCTTAAATGCGCCTGTTGATACTGCAAGTTATTTGTACATCCATTATAATCTAATCCTCTCCACCGCTACGGTCGGTGCTTAAATTATGAAAATCAAATAGGCACAAAATACAACGGCTCATAGCCTGTCCATAAATAGAGGTCAATGCTCTCACCTACTCCGTAGTACAGCAAAAGTGAATGTAAGCCAACCTGTAAGCGACCTCGGCCGCGGTGAAGACGTAGTTAAAGTTGCACATGTTGAGGAAGGAGTCTCTGAAGGCGAGAAGCAGCAGCAGCAATAATTGGTACTTGCCGAAGCTGCCCAGTTCACTCAGTATGCCCTCTAGGTTGAACTGCCCCTCGCTCCCACCCACAGCGCCGGTGCTGCCCTCCTCCGACATCTGTACAAAACACACCACAATGAAATATGATGTATCCTTTTACAATTTCCAAAGAAATACAGTAAAAGCAGAAAGCTAAAGATTCTTTAAGTATTGTGCGTCTTTTGTATTCCTCTTCACTTATCCATCATTTTGATTCAAGGGGAAGATTGAATATTATTTTTCACATGAATAAACCAGAGCTAAACCGCTTTGATTTGATAAATAGGTGTATCTCTTACGTCTTTAAAAAGTCCTTTCCTCTTATTAATTTACTGACCTTGGTCTTCGACTCCTTTTTCAACATTTCAGCACTCGCTATTCAACTGTTTCGAGTCATGCACATGTCTTCCCTCAGCTGGAACAATATCAACTGCACTACAGATTACATGTACTAACCAAATTATATCAAACTAGCTGTCACCCGCGAATCTGTCCGCGCGGAATTTAAAAAAAAACCTAATTAGCCTATGAGTTCTTCTAGACTATGTTCTTCATCAAAGATATTTAATCGGTATCCGTGGAGCCGTTCTAGAGATACCTTGTAACAAACATCCATCAAAACATTCGCATTTATATTAGTATGAAGTAAGATGTACCCTAATAATTTATCTTATACAAATGCAACCCACTTCCCGAACACGAGTTTGATATCTTGTTATTCAATTAATCCTTTGTATTTGACCTAATTTTAATATTTGATAAATTGATTGAAAACCAGAAATAAACTGGTCAATGATATTTTAATGAAGAACACTTATTTATTATCAAATAATAATATTAATTATTATTTTTAAAATTCTTTTATGACCTGCGTTGATTAATTTCACGGTAATAAAATATATGTACCCTTATCTTTGACTTGTACTAGACTATGTTAGCCTTAGTTTAGTCTCTATTTACCGACTGATTATAAATATTGTTTTCAAGTTGTATAAGTATTCGATTTATAAGTATTTTTTTACAAAATACTCGTATTGTTCAAATTAATAACTATTATATTAATTTAGGCAACAGTAAAGGTAACCTTTTATTCGTCCGATCAAACAGTGAGTTGTTGTCACTCAATTTTCCGGTTCGTTTAACCGAATAATTTAACCATTTTTTTTGATAAATATTTTTTTAAATAACTAGTATGATTTAAACATAGCTGTAATAAAAATATGAATACTATAAAAAATTCTTAGTAAAAATTTTGTAATTTATTTATATAAAATTGTAAGCCAAATTCAGTGAATTAAAATGTAATACTTAATTAATACTAATAAACAATCTAATCAATATAAGTCGAACTTATAAAAAAGTAAGTAAATAAAAACCCCTTTCAAAAACTTAATTACATTTCCCTAGCATTGAGAAATAACGATACGATGTGATTTATTTCTGCAGCGAAAACACACGGTCAAATTTGGCGTCGAATCAAATTAAATAATTTGATTCGACACCACTAAAATTAGTGGCGTCCTTAAGACTGAATCTGCGTATGTCCTAACAAAGAATAGATTATTTTAAGAACTGCGTTAAACGTGTATTGCCTTGTCTGAACGTCGCCTTTGTTTCGTATTTGTTTATAAATTCATCAAGCGCCGCCAAAATGCATCTATACAAGACATTCAAAACGTTCCATGTTTACGTTTTACTATTATAAACTACTAGCTGTCACCCGCGGCTCCGCTCCCACGGAATTAATATATTATTAGCCTATGTCTTCTTCCAGACTATATTCTACATCCATGCCAAATTTTAGCGACATCTATGCATATGTTCTGGAGATACCGCCTAACAAACATTCAAACAATCGCATTTATAATTTTAGTAAAATAGTAAGTCACGCTACGTTTACGGTTATTGGATTATTTTCATTCAATATCAATTATGTACTATATTTCTCTGAACTAACTTCCGATATTAAATCATAGTCTCTAATTGAAAAATTCGATTTTAAAAATTGCTATTCAAATTCTTTAGTAAAACTTCAATATATATACGTTCGTTTCTCGCAAGAAATAACCAAGGAATAATGTAAAGAAAATATAAATCACCTGTAATATGTTTGAAGTGTAGTTATTAAGTGAAACCCGAGCTGTGACATTTTAGGTTTATATAACTCGGGCACAATAGCACCATAACCATCACGTAAGCGCTTGCACAAGATGTATGGCCATTGTATGACATCCATCAAACCACATTAATACAAACTCTATACACAACACTTTCTACATCACTTGCTCTACTATAAAGTTTCTATAAATTTTGTTATGCCCGAAACAACGAAACAACACTTCTAGAACATAATATAATTAGTTCCACTTCATGCATCTCTTCTGTGTGTTCACCACTCGAGCCAGCAATTCGTCCAGAAACTATATCTATTACAGACTCTACCACTATTGTTCTCTTTTGCAATCTCATCAACATATGTTTCTTGCTCTACCACAGTCAAAGAGAACACACTTATTAGGAACAGTATCTCTTATCTTATAAAATAATCGTGTCACAATGTTAGTTACCTGCGAAACGGCTGGACCGATGTGTTATGCGTATTTAATAGTTTTGAGAATCGGTTTGGCGCATTACCCGCATTTGGCCAGCGTGGTTGACTATGGCCTAATCACCCTAACTTAGGGTAGGGACGTATAGTGAGCTGATGATGATGATGAAAATCGGTTTATCGATTTTTTAATACCGCGCGGACGGATTCGCGGGCTACAGCTAGTATTTCTATATAATCCATATGACATAGTAATGGTATAACTGTCACAACAAACGTATATTAAAATATCACAATGCATTTCCACAACAAATATAATAAGAAACTTGTAGAAAGTAATAAAGATATATTTATATTTTTATTGTCTTAACATAGTATACAAGAATGATGAGACATAACAATTTTAAAATCATTATTGTGACGGCAATCTTAAGAATGGATTCAATCATAAATAATAAAAGATATTGAATTGTTTGTTAGATTTTTTTATATATTTGTAACAGTCAAATAAATATGACAAAGAATGCTATAGATATAACGTATGGAAAACAATACGAATAAAGTATACAAAATATTAATTGTTCCATTGAATATGGTTATTTGGATAGTTGTATGAAGCCAACGGGAAATAATTTAAAGTGGAACAAAGGGCATTCCTACTGTATGGTGTACACATTAAATTCTTTAATGATTCAAGCATACATACATGCTTGTTAGAGATTAATATTACTTACCATATGAAGCCCACTTACACTAGTTCTGAGTTATATTTAAATAAGTTTCTCTAGCAATTAGATAAAGGTATCAGGAAGATATTGTTAGGAAGAAAGTTCGACACTGTGCCGGTGTACTGGAACAACACTGGCCTTACTAAAGTATCGACGTTTGTGTCCCCATACTGACAATTCTGACACAGGGCTTTCGCGCCAACTAATAATGTCTAAAAATATAAAAGTAAGTGGAAATTTACGCTTCCAATTCATTACCTTCTATGCCAAATCCACATCCCCTTCCCATCCCTTCCTAATATGATAATCTTTATCGTAGGTGTTAAAAATATTTTTTTTACATTCTATTGTATATACTCAAGTGAACATAAATAATGCAATACTAACTGACGGCACACTTAGTACTGCCAAAAATATGGGGAAAAGAAAAGGGCTGTGTTTAGTCTTTTCCCGGTATTTATTCGAATTTTTCTCACCTTTTGAACCTTCCCTAGATCTCCACCAACATTTCATGACCAAGATAAGATAAATGTTCAACCGTTCTCGAGTTTTAGCTAGACTAACGAACAATAATTGATTTTTATATATATAGCAGAAGATGTGAAGTTGTAGAAGATATACAGATATGGTGGCGTGTAAACATATTATTGTATTGCACAGGTCAGGTGAGGTCGCAGTTTACTATCTCTTTATGTTACATATGTTGTCACGTGCTCGTCAATCCTCTCTGAACTCATTTATAGAATATAATTACTGTAGCAACTTAGCACAAGTTGAATTCATTTATCATCAACTTTATATGTAGCGTATGTATGTAGACGTAATATACGACTAGCCCGCGACTCCGTCCGCACGTAGCCTATGAGTTCTTCCAGACTATGTCCTACATCTATGCTAAATTTCAGTGAGATCCATTCAACCGTTCTAGAGATACCTTCAAACAAACTTCCATCCATCAAAACATTCGCATTTATAATATTAGTAAGCAGTAAGATGTATGTATGTCACGATTGTCAGATTTTTTTCTGTTAAATTCACGTTAAGTCGGAAGAAAACAAAAGACTGTAGTGTTCGTTTAAATAAAAATATTGTAATCGAATGATTTAGGAAAATAATTATAATAAAATATTTTGAATATTCATTAATTAATTTCTTTAAAAATTGTCGTCAAATGATATTTTACCCCTTTAGGTTACGGGCGTGATGTTGTTTACGTTTTAGATTTACGTTGATACAAATATCACCGTTCAAAGTCGTGCATAAATTTTGTTATTTCATGTTACAATCAAACAAAGCCAACAAAACTGATGTTAATTTTACCATTTACTAACAATATTAATTTCACGGAAGCGATCGCAACTCGCGTCAGTATCGCAATGAAAGGGTTGTTATGATGAAAACACAATAGATGCAGGCGTATGCGCATTAACAAATCCTCATGTAAATACTATGAACAAAAAAGGGTCTTCACAGACGGACGGACGGACAACAAAGTGATCCTATAAGGGTTCCGTTTTTTTCCTATGAGGTACGAAACCCTAAAAAAGCTAAGGTTCGGGTACGTCTTAACAATTATTTTACTCTGGTGACATCAGTCTAATACCACTAGAACTCTATCGACTGACGTCCCTAAGGAGCCCATAAGGAATAAGAGAATTACTGATTTCTTTTACTAAATCTGCACAAAGAGAAACCACTTAATAACTCTAATAAATTACTCAATATTCCTGAGACCAAAATCCCTGTATAAGACATATCGTCATCCCTGACATTATCTTTGACAAAATAGAGATAACAATATGTTTTAAACAGGTTTTGCTGTCAAAAACCAACGATTAGTTAAGTTTAACTCAAGAAATCAAGGTTGTGTCCAGAAACTGTCGCCCGCGATTTCGTCCGCACGGGATTAAAAAGAAGTTAATAAGTAGCCTATGTGTTCTTCCACACTATGTTCTATATTTATGCCAAATTTCATCGCGATCCGTTCAACGATGAATCTTCAAACCTTCAAACAAACATCCATCGAAACATTCGCAGTTATAATATTAGTATTAAGATTATGTTCAAAAACAAGGAACAAAAAAATTCTGAAATGATTGACAGCTTCGCGTTTTATGAATCATAAAATTTACTTATTCAGTAGTTGTAAATAAGTAATAGCGAATACAGAGAAATATAATTGTATGGAAAGTAAGAGTCACTGCCCGCAAAATTAGTCACCAATTAAACAGAATGCAACGTGCGAATGTTTGCCGACTTATTGCTGTTTCGAATGCAACATGTAATCCGTTTACTTATTAGTAAGACTTTCGTTTGATTGCATTAATAATTACGTTCAGTTGCCGCAAAGTCATTCTTTAAAATGATTTACTTACCTTGGGTTTCTCAGTCCAAAATTTCCTTTTAAACATATTCTTATCTCTAAGGCTGAAATTTATAGACGGTACTTAGACTTACCTTACGCTTAGCTTACGCCAATCTTATCTCAGCATTTGCTTAGACTTATCTCAGAATCGAATTTATAGTCGTTATTGCTTAAGCCGGTGGTTCCCAAACTTATTTTGTCTATTATTTGACTTGACATAGTAGACAACGTCAAACCTTTAACTTATTTCATTTTGTTGTTGTTGATTTGATTTGATTTTTCATTTGACCCTAGCGTTTCTCTGATGTACGACACATTTCTCCTGGATTTTTGCTTATCTACCTGAACATTCGCCGATTTTATCCTTTTACGTTGATCCTGACATAATCTTACATTTGGTTTTGGCTTACGAACTAACAAGGGTTTTCCGACGAATAAAAATAAATGGATAGATTAGACTATGTCAACAACATACAAGAAATATTGACAGGCTTAGAACATCGGCTCGGTGAGGAAATATGATGATCAAAGATATCAAACATTGTGTACTGAAGATGACACGTACATATGTGAACTATGTTTAACGCCCATCAACTCTGTACTAATTTTCTCTTTTCTGTTATAGAATGTTTGTGGCGAATTATTGAGCTATCTACAACGTGCATCATCATTAATAAAATTTCAAGAGAATTGAGTCAACTTAAAACGCAATTTATATGTTTCCCAACACACCTACAGACTGTAATACGCAAATTCGAAGAATAGGATAGCACTACCAACAATACGGCCTTTAAAATATGATTCTTGTTAATAAAAATATTTTTTCCTTAATATTCGGTTAGTAATACGAAATACGGTTTTTTTTTCCTTTTATCGCAACAATCCGTTTTAAGCAAAATCTTAGTCCAAGGGAAGTACAAAATCTTTGGAAACGGAATGGTGATCAGGTAGATCCAGAATATATACAAAAAGGTTCAAAGAACACATGTAATCCATACTAACCATAACAAATAACGAAAATACAAACATATAAGTAAACTCCTTCAAATCAAATCATCAATTTTTTCTGCCATATCAATAAATTTTACCATATCATAAAAAATATATAAAAGTAGTAGTCGAGAAACACGTAAGTTTTTCGTAAATTTTGGTGACTTAGCACTTGCTAAGCACGATCATAGCAAATGCTAAGCATATGTCTATTAATGTCAAACTCGTAAGATAAGTCAAAGCAAAGTCTGAGTGACGTCTATAAATTTTAGCCTAATACAATGACAGGAATGACGATATGTTTTATGTATAGTTTTTGGTGTCAGAAACCCACGGTTAGTACAACTGAAGGCCCTGTTTACGTATGGATTTAAACTTCTTAATAATAGTTGTCGACGCGATTGTACAAACTTATGAGGTATTAGAATTTTCATAGGAGGATTACTTGTACATCTATTAACCTTAGTGTTTATGTTTAAGAAAATTTGACACAGTGCCGGTGTATCGGCGCAACACTAGCCCTATTAAAATATCAACGTTTATGGCCCCTCACTAATCAATCTAACACTTGACTTGGTCACGGAAACATGCCATTCGCGCCTAAGGATTCTAACTAATAATGTATAAAGTATTATATATAGTAAAAAGCAACTTGCCAGTTTTTCATTAAATGACGACGCTCGCAGTCTTACGACATTTATAACATGATAAAAATAACTATATAAAATTTCAATAGCTTTATAAATGAGTAGTAAATAGATACAATAGATCAATTTAAACGCAATAAAACGCATTCTATTGCTACATTTTACTTCCATTCATTTATAGATTTCCATGAAATTTATTTTAAAAACAATATAAATGTCTATGGAAACTATCTATTTGCACCTTTTTTTTTAATAGGTGGTACAGTGCCATTCAAACTCAAAGGGGGCTCGGAACATAACAGAGGTTGCACATAATGCTATCGTCGAAACAAGATTCCTCCACTAGCACTGAACTGGTGTACTAGTTCCACCTATTACCCACCTGGACAAACATGCCCATGCAACTAATCACAAGCCTCTATAAAGTTTGGATCTTGTAATACATCTCGGTTGGCTTAGTAAGTGGGCAATGATGCGCGCGAGTGATGGACTGGCGGGTGAGAGAGGTGAGAGTAGGGGTCAACGACCGCGATGCAGTAGGGGTTATCCAGCATACACCCGGCTATCGGGCTAAATTGATTTTTGCCTGTCTATCTAGACCTAATTGATTTTAGTGTTAATAATTACTATCTTTGTATTATTTCTATCAGACAAGGAAGATTTTTCTTATATGTTATAGTTACTTTAGTAATACGAAATATGCCGTAAATAATAATATCGTAAAAAACATAAAAAGATTTTGTCATATTTGCCTATATAAATCTTTTATATGTCCTGGAACATTTAATAAACAACAACGTTCAAATAGCTAACATCCGCAGAGAACATTATGTTTTTTTTTTATTTTTATTTTTCATATATTTTTTCAGCCAGTACGCGCAAAGTCAAGTTCAATGGCTGTACCGTCGAGTTGCTTTTGTCTGCGTTCATTTAAAAAAAATGTTGAAAGTTTTATTTCGAATATAATTGGAAACACAATGAGCGATTTCAGCGCAGGAAGTTAGACACTTCTTTTTCTATAACAACAATAGAAAGCGCTGTTATTTAGCACTAAGTTTGCTGAAATATCCGCTGCAAGACGTAATTATTGATTCAAAAGATCGTCTACTTTTTATAACAATCCCATGGTTTTTTAATGGCCTTAATTTTTTTAATGAACTGAATTTTTGTTGGTTCCGTTATAAGCTTTCTTTTATTTTATACACTTTTATGGCGTTCTTTTCGTAAAAAAAACTACATGTCGATTTATTATTTATGTATATTATACCATGTATCCGATTAAATTTTATACGCAACATTTTTGTGATAATAAATTTCTTGGAACTAAGTAAATAATGGCCGTTACATTACAATAACTGTAAATATAGAATTAATAGCGTCTATTCAATGTTAAGAGAAAGAAATCATTGACATTTACTTTATTATTTTTGTTAAAAAATGAAATGTATTAAATATTCATTCACGCTGTCGCATCTTAATTTTACTCGGAAATGATAAATATTTGTAAAAATTTCTTATTAATCTTAGACAAATTTTAAAAAGTATCTTGTTTTAAGACGGTGTAAATCTTGGTGTAAAGAGAGTCACTCTATCATTCTCAAGATCACGTATTATTATAACACAGTTAGGATAGGTTTAACCTAAATTCATTAAGATTTTTATTATTGTTATTCTCACTGCTATTATACCTGTACCAAATAAACAGTCAACCCTTATATTTTCTTTAAAAAAAAGGAAATAACATTGCGTACTGTCTTCGACAGTGGAAACTCACAAATGTTTTTATTATATTTTGGAAAACTATCTTAATATAAATTAATTATATTTCGAGATTTAAATATTTATCCTTTAAGGATTTATTTCTGTCATTAGTTTTGACATATCTATGCTTTTTTACGCGATTAACAAATTTTTTTTTTGGTGTTTATGTATTTATGCACATATGACACATTGTAACCTAAAAACCTTGACTTTGAACACTTACATCTCACTCAATTATCTACCCCGAAGTGTAAATAATCCAAAGTTAACTAAGTCCTTTACTGTCATCCCATATAATTTTATTTTGAACTTGTATCCTATTTAAGCTAAACATTATAATAAATTATAATTTTAATACACGTATATTTTAATTAATATTTAAGAATATAAATAGTACTTACGAAAACACTTTCAACTGCAATTTTCGACGACCACTGTAAATCAAATGTTCAGTCAGTCAGTACGACTGTTCAGTAAACGTTCAGTAATGTTCAGTCAGCGGTAGCACTGTTCAATAAATAGACGGAAGCCGCTCGCATTGCGCCCGCGCACACACTGCGCCGTCCGCGGCCGCACGCCGCTACTGTGTCCACGCAATACAATACTACAGGAATACTTTCTCCATTCTTAATGACGGATAAATGTCTTCACATTAGTATGTCACCCAATCACTTCCACTAAGGATATGTAAGGTGTAAACTAACATAAATCTATATTGGCTCAGCCTATTCAGTAAATCTTTCCCTTTTATGCTTATAAAATATATCACAAAATATTTACAAAAGCTCTCAATATCAATTTTTTTTTATATTCTATCATCAACCTGTGGTTGCGTTTCTTAGTTTCGCACTCACATATGAACTACTAAAGATGGCTTTGAGGCAAAACTCCTCACTAATCAAACTTAACGCAAAATTTTTAATAGAAAAATGTATGCAATCAATAGGTCCCAAATCTGATATTGCAGAATGGTTTCCTATGTTTAGGTTAGCAATTATTTCCTATATTTTTTAAAAATTTATAAAAAATTTAAATTCCGTAAAGTGCGGAAAATCTAAGTTGATTTTCCTTATAGATTATTGAGTTAAAGTCGTCAATTAAATGTCAAAAAAAATTAAAAATGAAGGTTTATAATTTTTTATCATAAACATAAAAAAGTTAATGGCCTGGTGCTTGTACAAATGACAGGAATTTCACAATCACACTCATTTAACGTCTTAAAATCAGTATTTAAAAATCACTTTGCTGAACGGCCGCATACGCTTTTTCTAAATGAAAAGTTGCTGTGGGCGTACGGCATCGCCTCGAGTGCGTGATACGACTCTAGTTCGTTGATCTGAAATAAGTCGAAACAAACAACCAAAACACCTTCGTAAATTGATGATTACGTTTTAAGCAATCAACTTCGCTTATATGAGCATTCAGGTGCAGCTTTTGACGATCTGGGAATGCCAAGAGGGTAGCTACAGTAGTTTGCCTGGTACCAGATTGACACATTTTGACGGCTCTCGTCATAGTTCTAAAATGTTGATCCCTACACTCTGTGTGTGCATGTAATGATGTGTGTGTGATATGATGATGTGTGTGTATTAATTACGTGAAAATATTTTTAAATTATATAAACAGCGAAAAAAGGAGACAAGTATAATTCTCATTGTCAAGTGAAGCATTTCTATCATGTGACTAAATTGGTTGATTCTTCTCATAAAACAAAAGTTCACACAAAAAGTGCACTATCCTGTATATATCAAGATTGATGGTGACATTACGTGAGTATGTAGAGACGCAGGTACATTCGCTGGTCGCCGTACGCTGTATTGTTATGAAAATAACCGTATAATGTCCGGCGCAGCTCCTCCGCGAGAAACAATGTAGCCTCTATAAATTATACAGGCGACGTATCACATTTCTTACGATTACCACTTTGTCTATACTGTAAACAAATATACTTTCTACAATCATATTTATTTACTTATAGTTCAAAAGTTCACCAGAATATTACTAATTAATTTTATCAAGTTATTACTCATTACAATAAACTATACGGGAATAGATATATGAAGAAAAAGGTACAAATGTACGAAAAAACAGACTAGAACATATGTTCCACACAATCACTGTGATAATTTTTTAATATTTTTATTAGGTTATATCGATATCCTTATGGAAAAACATTATCTATTACAGTAACAAAATCAGAAGAGCTGTAGACGTACCATTGTTCCTGTTATATGCACGGCTATATAGCTTAATTATTTTGACTTAAGTACCAACTTAAATCAAAATAATTAAATAGAAAATAAATGCATTATTGTGACGCTCATTTATATAATTTTTGTAAGAACCTCTACACCTGTATTTCAAAAGCAAATTAGTAACGTAAGATTACCTAGGATATATGACGTAAGTTGTACTTATTTCTTTTAATCCAAGATATAAAGAAATTGATAACTGTGTAAGCATTAGTGAAAGATACAGTCTTCAACTTTGCTATTGTTTCTGTTTCAGGCACTTTTATAATAAAAAAAATTCAGATACATCGTTATACGATTTACATTAAAGTTAGGCTTTGAATAGTTATTGTTCACACTTAAACTATAGGATATATATAGTATAAACACATTAGGTATTAGATAATAAATAATTATTTATTTACTGGTATAAAAAATGTTTTAGCAACAGAATTAAATTCCATCAGTCAAACCGCTCCACGATGGATCACAACAGTCCATTGTAAGTGAAAGCTTATCCCTAATTATCTTAAGTTATCACAATTCAACACTATGATAGCTGTTTCGTCACGTTGATTGTTTCTTGCCGATCTGTTCCGCCTCCTCCATGGTATCGGGCAACTTGGTGCCCAGGGTTTCCGGTGTGATAAGGACCAGGGCTCCTGACAACAGCGCGAATCCAGCGAACATCGCAAATGGTAAGTCTTCCCATACCGCCGCACCCTAGAAAGGAAGATTAGTGTATTCGTGTAATGAATTGAAAGATAAATCAGTCCAAATGCCAAGTCTAAAGAAGACGATAATGACCGTACGTTCTATGGTAAACTTCCACGGTCGAAATAATTATACTAAAATATAGCGTTGTCTCTGTTCTTCAAGTTAGAAGGAGAGGGATGACCGTATGTTTTATTGTTACACTACATTTCCGTCAGTTGGCGAAATTGAACGACTTACGAAAGCAGGTGTAAGTGGCGCTATAATGGATCCGATTCTGCCCATCATGGAGGAGAAGGCGAAGAGGCTGTGACGGTAGCGCGTGGGGTACAGCTCAGCGGTGTATACGTATACTGACGTCATCACCATCGCGATGCTGTACTTCCCAATCAGGTACAGAGTGAGAGAAATCGCGTAGAAATCTAAAACAAATTAAGGAAAGGTACACTTGGTACCATGCGTTAAACGGTGATAATGAAATTAAATGATGATAAGCCATTTGATTGACAAGAAGATGGATGACTTTTATTTCTTTTCGTTGTTTATTCAAGCATATACATCTGAAGAGATAATTCGCTTTGGATAGGCTCAATACACCGCCTCATACTAAATTATTCAACTATCATTGATCTTTACAAAGTACTTAAGATAAGTTTAAAGTAAAAAAGATATTAATATTATAATATGAGTAATAACTCGACAGTCATGTACATTGTAAGCTATCAATTAAGACACAGTTTTATCGTGAAAGTAACTCATTCCATCATTATAATCATACTATATCTACAATATTGATAAATGGATAATCCTAATTTCGCTTAACCGCTTTTAAATTGCATATAATTTCTGTAACAATTACGATAACCGAAAATATTCGGCCTAAATACGATTAACATATGCATTCGAGGTGTTATTTTTTATCTATCCTTACCTTCAGGCATGAAGATGTATCCAATCTGACAGGCGGCGCAGACCCAAAATGCGCCAGTCAGAACCGGTTTCCTTCCAATCTTACCCATTAACAGCACCGCGGTCCAGTATCCGGGAATCTCTGCCGCGGATACTGCGATGTAGTTCACATATCGATTGCCAGACATGTTCACTGAGTTTATGGACATCCCGTAGTATATAAACGTGTTGGTTATCCACCAAATAGGCGAAACTAAGCAACGAAGTAAGATTCTCTTATGGCGAAATACCAAGACTATCAGCCAAGGTTCTTTCCGTCTCTCTGCCTGTTCTGCCGCTTGACGTACCTTCTCTTCTTCAGCAGATTGTTTTAACGCATGTATCGATTTTTCTGATAACTCTTTTTTATTAACTCGAGCAACATTTCTTAGTACCGTTTCTGCGTCATCATATCTCCCTTTACTCATGTACCAGCGAATAGATTCAGACATGATCCAAAAGTAAGAGATGGTGACGAATTGTGGGATATAAAGAGCTAGGGTAAATTTCTTCCAGTTAGGAACTGCCCAGGCTATCAGGCCCATGGTTATTTGACCGATAGAGAAGAAAGTATTCATTGTGGCGCCAGCAGCGACTCGGTATTTAGGTCCCACCAGCTCCATCACTGTTAAAAGAAAATATTACTTTGTCGATATCATAGAGAAGATACGAACGTAGTTTAACTTGTCTAACTGACCGTGGGTTACTGAGATCAAAATCCCCGTTTAACTCTGTTTTGTCGAAGAGAATGACTCTGATGACTATATTATATCTTATTCAAAGATTTTGGTCTCAGAAACTTACGGTTAGAGTGATTAGTGCTATGAGCCTAGCATAACATACATAATATTTGGTCTCTACCGAAATAGCTAGGTTACTATCCTTCGTACGTATATATTTGTCCCATAAAATTATGGAAAATATTGGTACTTGAAATACCATACCATATTAAAATTATTCCACTAATTCGTAAGTACTATCAAAGTAATAATTTTTATCATAGTAAAATTTATTAGACAATTAATTAAAGTATTACATTTTGTCTGTGAATCAGTTTGAAATGTATCGCGATTATATATTTTGACAAGTTTCAATCATTCATTAACATTTTATAATCCATGAACAAATAAACAACATAATCTTACTTCATATCGTGATTCATGATAGGAATTTATTTTTACCGGTAGGAATAAAATGCTATCTATGGATTATTTATGGATAGGAAATAAAATTATTTGATAGGAATGAAGGCTGTGTCAAAAGCCTTGTACACAAATAATTAGTTGTTTTATAATTACTGGCTGTCACTCGCGACACCATCAGCACGGAATTAAAAAAAAACTTTATAAGTAGCATATGTTCAAGACTATGTTCTATATTTATGGCCAATTTCACCGAGATACGTTCAGCAGTTCTAAAGATACCTTCAAACACCCATCCATCTAAATATTAGCATTTATAATATTGATAAGATTTCAAAAGAAAAAACACTACAACAACCCCGAGTTGTCCTGAACTAGTCAGTACAGAGTTTAATTATGATATAATTGGTCTAGTTAACACTAACTAGGTATTAAACACAGATCTCTGCTTTGGGGTGAAAGGCAATGGAAAGAAAGAACCCATAAAGATATAATAAGATAAGACTAATATCAAACAGTAGAATTGCTTGCAGTTAAACAGACTCTCCGTAGTGATGAAGACAAGAAGACGAAAAAACAAAAATTCAATCGTTACGTTGCGCTGTATTGATCGGCAAAGTATTGAACATACAATTGTATATTTATATGTTGTAAAGATAACAGTTTATTAGTATTAAAAACCTTGAGGTGTTCTTTATTTGGTCCATTAAGTTGTGAGTAACGGGATGTTAAAAATGGACACCATTAGAGTAATTTCGCTTCATTTTAAGATATTTTTAAGGACAAAATGCCAGGAGGCTGATATTATGTATGTTGTTTATAATCCCAAAACTGCTAGTAAGCTAGAAATGTTGGTTTTGTTCATTATGATCATTGGTGTTAAAGATACAGTTTGCATTGGCTGGAACTTCGTAAAAAAACGGCTATAAATTTACGAAGATAATGGAAATTGGCTTATATTCAAGCTGCAGTTAGATGCGTTTTTCAAAATATACTTACGTAAGATATAAGCGCAAGAGAATCCACCAGATCCGAAGGTAGCTTCAGCTACTTCAGAGACGAGGAAGCCGATGTAAGTACCGGCGAAGTATCGGACGGTGCCGAGCCAGGCGGTGTTGACGGCGTTGATGGTAAGCGCCGCACGCCGGCCCCATCGGTCTGATACATAGCCGGTGATGGGCAGTGCCAGGAGTGTACCAAACGTACGTACAGATCCGATCAGAGATCGTCTCCATTCGTCACACGCTAAACCGTACTGGAAACAGGCATCAGAGTCTACTCAAAAAGTACAGACATCTGCACTCATGAGGCTGCATTGTGGTCAAACGCTGAGTCAATCATTATAAAAAAGAATTAAGAATAATTTTACTTATTTTATTTTCATTACTTTATCTCTGCAAACAATGATGATGGAAAATATTATAATATTATCGTTTAAGGTAAAAAGTAATTTTTCAATGCGCAAATTGCATAACTATTTCCTCAAAAAGTGTAAAAAAATACAAAATTTTTATGACTGATAAATAAAAGTCTACTTACATCATACACAATAGTATCCGTGTTCTGATAGACAAAGTCCTCGCAGGCCACCAGCCTCTGCCTATCGAAGAGACTCGCGGGGCAGGTGTCAGGGCGCGCGAGGGAGGACACGTTGGCGAAGCGCTGGCAATTGTCGAAGGAGCCGCTGCTGGCCCCCGGTACTGCGTTCAGGATCCACGGCGGAGAGAACTCATTATCATCTCCTTCGCACTCCGGTATCAAGCATCTAAAATTTAATATAATCAGCTCTGTGTTGCAATTTTAGCTTTTTCATATTGTGGATAATGGGCGTCTGCCATCAAAATATTCAAACGCAAAAACTTTAATTTGAAATTGTGTAGATAAAGTATGCGTTATAATATTACCAGGTGCAATTTTAATTTGATAGAAACTTTATATACCTTGTACTTATCCTTGCTGTGGTGAAAACATATTCACTGGCCGCCCACGCCGCGAAGATTACCATTAAAACAGCGAGCAGCAGTGTCCTGAACTGGTACCAACCGAACTGACCTATCTCCTCCACCAGGATGGTATCCAGGTCTATTCTGTGCACCAGGGTCTTCCCATCTTCCAGCCTGCTGGATCTGGGGCTAAGTTTCTGCTTCACCGTCATTTCGGCCTACTAGATAGAGCATTCGATTAGTACTGAATGTGTAATGCATTCTGATCTATTATAGCATCATAAATCAAAATGATAACAAATATGTTCATTGATATGCTCGATGACAAACATATTGTCCATTTCATGAAGTAAACAAATTCAAAATCTATCATAGAAATTAGGAAAACTATACCAAATACGAATGATTTGATTAAAGGCATATATCTATTGACATTTATCTATTGACTAGAGACATCTTCTGCATTTAGATCTTCAGCCAGTTCCGATTCTTGTCAGTTTTATACTATGCTACTATCTAAATGCAAATATTTGGAGGTATGGATGGATGTTTTAATAGTTATCTCCAGAACAGCTGCATGGGTCCAACTGAAAATTTGGCACACATTTAAAACATAGTCTGGCAGAACACATAGGCCTAATTCGTCATCGAATCGTAAAAGACGTACGTATTTTATACTATGCGAATAAAATAATAAAAAACAGTTCCTTTATAACTTCAATCCATATTTTTCTATATTAAAAAGAAAAATAAATAGTAAAAATAAGTATTTTTAATCGATCATGAATTTTTATAATGTCCGTGAATGATACTTATCAGTACAATTTACCTAGGTCATTATGTAATCCGTCTAGTCTAGGGTTGTAAAATTTTTAACAGACGGAAATTTGATAGTAGACATGTTGGACTAGGCCATATCAAGGTTTATGATTTATATATATTTTATCAACATATATCTCCAGTCAAAAGGTTGCGTTTTACTTAACGTTACATAAAGTTGGCATTTTTATTTACTTACAGTAAGTCAAATTGGTGTTGTAACTTATAAAGGTATAGACAAAACGTGTCCTCGCGTCAAGTCCCATCAACGGCAATCATCTATATCTACTATCAGTGTCCTTTAAAAAGCTCTCGACCGAGATCCTGAGTTGAAAGTATTGCTTTTTCTAATAGAATAAAAAGACGAGAAAGAACAGGCGTGACTGGGAGTTATTTTCCTCCCAAGCGGTGATATACACCATACGAAAACTTCGTATAGCTCTGTGGTGTAGAAATATTTAGGTATAATAAAATACGAAATAAATTAAAATCTAAGTTTATTTATATCATCTAAAGATCTGTTTTGGCTTTCTTCTTGCTGAGCTGCTCAGCTTCCTCCATAGTGTCGGGCATCTTTGTGCCTAGCGTTTCCGGCGTCGTAAAGATCAGACACCCGGAGATCAGTGCGAATGTACCAAACAGCACGGAAGGCAAACTCTCCCACACCTCCAATGCCTGTGAAAATACATCTTTGCTGTAACTTTATGAACGGAGTGTAAATTGTATGTCAAGGGATCATCAGTAAAGTAATTTCATCATTATTAGAATCTTATGAAATGCCCACTACCACTTTTAGCCACGTAGCCATGTTAAGTTACCTTTGGTGTCTTCATCGCAGTTATTATTGAACTATGTACTAATCGAACTAACCAGAGCTGGGGTAAGTGGCGCCGTGATGGATCCGAGGCGACCCACCATGGAGGAGAAGGCGAGCAGGCTGTGCCGGTACTTTGTGGGGTAGATCTCCATCGTGTACACGTACACTGAAGTCATCACCATCGCGATACTGAACTTGCCGATTAGGTACAGCGCCATCGATAAACCTTCGTTATCTGTAATTTATTATGAACGCCTGTCAAAAATAATTAGCCTCCATACAATTTTTTTACATATTATACGTATTTATAGTTATCTTAAATACCACGATATAAAAGTAGATCGGATCGAATGAAAAGTTTTAGTTTATAAGTGAATTCATTTAGAAGTTTGTGGAAGTAATGAAGTAGGTTAGTTAGGCATGTCCTCTGAAAAATATTAAGGTGTCGCAGAAAGACTGTGTATACATACCACCCGGTATGAAGGCGAATCCGAACTGGCAAGCAGCGCACAGCCAATATCCTGTAATGAGTACCGGCTTCCTTCCTATCCGGTCAAGCAGAAGAATAGCCGCCCAATAGCCGGGGATCTCTACCGCAGTTACAGCTACGTAATTGAGGTACCGGTTGCCAGACAGGTTGACCGCGTTTATAGACATGCCGTAGTACACGAAAGTGTTGGTCACCCACCACACTGGAGACACAATACATCTTGATAATATAACACGCGACTTTAAAACTAATATCGGCAACCAAGGCTCCTTAGGTTTTTCGATTAATTTCTCCGCCTCGGCTGAGGCTCTTAGACTTTCCAATGATTTCTCTGAAATTTCTCTCTTGTTTCTTTTGGCCACTTTCTTGAGGATCGCCTCGGATTCGTCGTATCTTCCTTTCGACATGAGCCAACGGACGGATTCTGAGAGGATCCAGAAATAGGACACGACGAGAAGTTGCGGCGCGTACAGCACCTGCGTGAGAGTTCTCCAGGGATGTACTCCCCAAGCAATGAATCCGAGTATTACTTGACCGAGAGCAAACATCGTCGACATTGTAGCACCTGCTACCACTCTGTATTTAGGTCCTACGAGCTCCGTTACTGTGAAAAAAGCAAAAGGAACTTACTTAATTATGAACTAACGTGCTTGCAAAGAATAATCTCTATTTATGAAACAGAAAACGATACAAAGAGTTTGTTGGGTGTAGACTTACCTAAAATATAACAAGAGGAATAAGCGCCCGCACCAACAGAGGATTCAATAACTTCAAGGGCAAGGAACCACTCGTAGGAGTTAACGAAGGAACGGACAAGTCCGATCCAGCCGGTATTGAAGGCGTTGATGGTGAGCGCGACACGGCGCCCCCAGCGGTCGGAGATGTAGCCCGTAATTGGAAGCACCAGCAATGTACCAATGGTACGGATGGAACCGATTTGAGAACGCTTCCATTCGTCGCACGCGAGGTCGAACTGCAATACAATAAGGATGATTGCTGAGCATAGCAATATCTCTTGTAAAAAGCAGAGTAATCAGAACGCTTGTACGTATTATATGTATATTTATTCTATGATGAGTTTGCCACTTATTTTACAGCAGCAGATTATGCAATTTTACATTAGAAAATTTTGCTATTTAATTCAACTAGGATGTTATACTGTTCTCATTTGACTCAACTTACATCATAAACCACACTGTCCGTATTCTGGTAGACATATGCCTGGCACTCTTCAGTGCGAGAGTTATCAAACCATGCAGCAGGACAGACGCCGGATGCGTCTGCGGTTTGGCTGCTGTTGGAGAAGCGCGCGCAGTTGTCGAAGCTGGACGTGCTGGTGCCCGGTATAGCGTTGAGGACCCAATCGGGGGCGTACACAGGGTTGGGACCGTCGCATTGTGGGATTAAGCATCTGGATCGCAAAAATATCGTGTTTTTACAAGGTATGGTGACGATAAATTTTAGTGCACTTCCCCTTTCCAACCTTTTCTTAAAAATAAACGATGGGAAGGGGAAGTAGATTTGGCAGAGGATGTATAAATATCCTCTTCCTATACATCCACTCTTCAGGCTTTTTTGGTAAGTAAGGCATATACAATTAGGGATGTCTATGTGAGGGCTGTCACTTCGCTATTTTAGCGAATTGATGGTTGCTGTTTTATGCTTATGCTATAATTAAAAGTAACCCCATTTCTTTTACTCCATCCTCTCTTCCAACTCCAACCAACTTCCAGGCATATCATGCACTTTAGGACATTTTTTAAAACATTCATAAATCTTAATTTGGTTTTACAAAGGAATGCAAGGAAACGGTATGCAAGGTCAAATTAAATAATAAAATATTTACATCTTTATCAAGTGATAAGTTATCTAAAGGATTAACTATTGGTATTAAATATTTGAAGGGTAAAAAAGTATTAATAAAAGTACAATATCACGTGTGATAACATTAGATAAAGCGTTTTCTTTACGTATGTCCTTCATTCTTAAGGCTTCTTTGATAAGTCTACTATTTTTTTTCTAACTCATAGGAACATATTGCAATCAAAGCTTATAAATGTACAATGTAGACTAATAAACAAACCATACTTTTGTTATTTTTTTTCTTTATAACAGAAGGGGGCAAACGAGCAGCGGGAACACCGAGGTGTTCAACGACGCCCATGGACATCAGCAATACCAGAGGAACCGCAGATGCTTTGCCGGCCTTTGTGATGGTGATACGCTGCTTCTTGAAGAACCCTAAGTCGTAGCGGTTTGGAAATACCGTCGAGGACAGACCATTCCACAACGGTGCAGTGCGAGGCAGGAAGGCAAACCGCACGGTTGTGGATTGCCAGTCATCGAGATGGTGCGGATGAAACCTTGCGGTCTGTCGTGTCGTCCGATGACGGATCTCGGCGGCAGGAATCGTTGTCTACTTTCATCAAGTCCATAGTCATAAGAGTGACCTTGAAACTTCCTTAACCTACTTAATCGTGTCACTCATAAGCCTCACGTATATTTTAAAATAATTAAATGATTTCATAAATAATTATGCTATTATATTTTACTAAAGACATTTTATTCTATTTCTGTCCAGGGATTTTTCTACATAAAAATCCGTAAAACAATTTTTATCCCTGAAATGTCGAATGTTATATTGAGAGATGGCAACCAGTTTTAACGACTTCACATAGATGAAGAAGAGGACAGAGAGATGACGATTTTATGTATCATTACAGAAATATTATCCAATACGAATATTAATATTTACAAAATAAAATAATTAAATACATAAAAATTTACCTTGTAGAAATCCTCGCAGTCGTAAAAATATATTCTCCAGACGCGAACGCTGAGAAAATAACAGGAAGTGCAGCTAAAAGGAGGGTCACGATCTGATATCTCCCGAACTGTCCCACCTCCTCCACTAGAATCCTATCCAAGTCTACCCCCTTTGTCTCATCTCCTGATTCCACCTTTACATTTGACATTTTATAATAACCTCCTTTTTGAAGTCGGTTAAAAACGTTTAGTGGCAACGCGGCCACATGAAAAATGCTCGAAACTATATAATTCGATCACATTATGATAAGTTACTAAATGATAAGTGAATTTATTATGCTCATTAATAATACGCGAATTTTGATAATATAAAACATGTATTTATCCTAATCATCGATACGCTAAAGTTTGTGAATTCCACCAACAGTAATATCTTATCACAAGTAGATGTTACGTCGTCTTACAAGATAATTTCTTATTTATTATATGACAATTAATTACTTATTTTAATATTAATGAATATTTACTTCGTAATAAATTTTAGATTTACATAATTTTCTCTGACAATTAATCACATATTTTTACAAGAAATATTTATATAATTTAATTCACGACAATGTGAAATGGGTAATAAAATACTGAGATTAAAAACAATTTTTATATTCTTACAAAACCAATGTAAAAATTAGTCGTTAAATGTTATTATTTCAATGAAAATTAATGCATTTATTTCAAGATTCCTTAATAATTTACATTGTTATCAAATTAAATAATTAAAGTTATCACTGTCTTTAGATTTTTTTTTTTTTATAACAGAAGAGGGCAAACGAGCAGCGGGAACACCGAAGTGTTCAACGACGCCCATGGACATCAGCAATACCAGAGGAACCGCAGATGCGTTGCCGGCCTTTAAAAAAGATTATAAATAAAAAGTAAAACAAAAAAGACATTTCTGTTTTGTATATCTTCATTTCATAAAAATGATAGCATATTGTTTTTTGATCTGTCATAACATGTACTGTGTAGGTTAAAGTATTATAGCAACAATAATACAGTTGATAGTAATAACTCTATACAGGGTGTCCCAAATGGTTACGTACATAGGAAGGGGGATGATAGGGGTGGTCACAAGGTTCACCAGAAAAATAAAATAAAAATTCCCCTCTGAGTATTAAAAGAAATAAATGGCATTTTTTAAAAACTTAAAAATTTTACACCTTCTGGGGCAATTTTGTTACCGATGACCTACAAATATTGCTATATTTAAAAAAAAACTACTATGTTATCGTCAATAAAACTTTATCAATATGAAATAAAAAAAACAATACAACTGACAAAGATTTTAAAGAAAATTAAAATTGCCCCCGAAGGTGTAAAATTTTTAAGTTTCTAAAGAATGCCATTTATTTTTTTTAATACCCAGAGGAGTAATTTTTTTTTCTGGTAACCCTTGTGACCACCCCTATCATCCCCCTTCCTATGTACGTAACCTTTTGGGACACCCTATATATTTGGCTTAAATTACATACTAAATATTATATATTTTATTACACTACATACTTACTTACTCTTTACTATTAAAAGAACTGGATGTCAAATTATATTTGTCTCACTTTCACACATTAAAATTGCGTTCACATTAGTTTTTACAAACTTGATATATCGCTAATTATACGATTTTCGATGTAAAGTGGGTAGCGAATTAAATTCTGCAACTACACACAACTTATCAGACCATCAGTTCGTTCCAGCGGTGACTGCTCCGCGTTCTTGCTTTTCCATATAAAATCAGTAGTCATGATCAGGAGGGTCACGTGGTTTGATGATGCCGAGGCGGGTGGCGACGGCGGCGACGTGCGCACGCACCTCCTCCTGGACCAAGTTGAAAGACATCGCTAGGAGAGCTATCCCGAATAGGAGGTACAGAGAGCAGAGTGCTATCGAGTGCACTGCATCAGCTGACTCACCCTCGCGACCCTGAAATAAGCATAGATATTAGTTTGTAATGTTCAAAATACAATCAAATAAAGCCGCATTCATTGTCTTTTCTCTTAAGGTACCTGTTACGGCCTCTGGGATTGCACGCACTTTACGCGCAACCCCGGAGCCGCAACAATACCTCTTCCATTTATCAAAGGTTGGTAGTAGTTTAATAATATTTCTCCATCTTTGGCTATAAGGAAATAAATGAGGTCTTTGCTTTGATGCAGCTTTATAAAAAAAGAAACTATAAGTTCTGCCATGAGTATTAGTCGAGTTTGTAAAAACATTCTACTTATTTCCAGCCAGTCTTGGTGTTAAGGAACATTTACCTGAGCCGGAACGAAGTCCCCGAAACCTATAGTTGTGAGGGTGATGAAGCAGAAGTAGGCGGCGTCGAGGTATGCCCAGCCCTCCCAGCGCTTGAAAAGGAATGTACCCGCCACTATGTACGACGCTACCAACAGCACGCACAACCAGATCGGCACCGGCTTTATCTAGAGACAGAAAAAGTTCTATGACATAAAACTTACATAATACATACCTTACTTTATCGTTGACCTTTGTCTGTTGTGTAGACTAGGAAAGTTAACAACTGCTTTTCTCAGTCATATATTAAATCTACACTAATAGAAGCTATTTACAACTCTAGGTCCGCCACTGAATCGTTAAACTACAACGTTAAATAAATATTATTGGGAGATTGTACGAGATGTTATGTTCTCCGATTACATTGCGCATATTTTTGGTGGCAAACTGCAACTACTCACGTGTCTGTGAGAAAGTTCACACTGAAGGTAAAAAGCTAGAATTCTTGTATACGAAATAGATAAAAAACATTAGGTATACAGCAATAAAGTTAATGCACATAGAATTCCCAATTTTGAAACACTTTGAAAACATATTATTCCTTTCTCTGCAGAAGCAACATAACATGTTTTGTAGCGATGTTTCGGCGCTGGAAACACAAAGTTCCATTTAGGTATAGGTGTGTCACACGTCTTACTTCTTCTCTAGGTATTGTGGAAACAGGACCAGCGTACAGGTCGGATTGTCGGGAGCCCCAAGCTGAAAAAATTCAATTATATTTTCCAATAAATCAGAAACGTTTGTTCGTTAAATATTTATAACATAACAGATTCCTTGTGTCCTGCTCGTGTCTGGGCCCTATATGTCATCTCTTTTAGAGAGAGAGAGAGAGTAGAGGCGTTAGGGTAAAGTAAGATGGATCAACAAATGGCGCCGGAAATGCTAATACCGGTCCTGTCTGTTGCCAATTGTTACGATATTATTATAATTTACCTGATGGAGGCCTGCGCCGCACTGGAGGTAACTCGTCACTCCAATCATCTCTCTCTGGCGACGGACTCTGTCAAATTGTACATAATTTTAATTTAAGTCAATTTATGGTAATTAGCGGCTTAGAATGCAACTCCACGACAGCGTATAATGAATGCGATCTTTCTGTTATTCGAGGTATTCGACAACATCAGTAGGAATTTGCAAAAAACATTTGATTCTCCGTTAATTTACTGGCCCTTACTTTATATCTTACACGTGTTATTCATCAAACCATATTTGTACCTAATCAATGTTATCAAACAATTTTTATTAACCTTTTTACCTAAATTACATATTGTAAATATTGATTATTCAAAATTCCGAGTGTAATTTTAGAAATGGAATACATTGTCATAAATGAAAAAGTTGGCATGATTTCTTTTAATTTATTTATCAATATCATTCTGGTTGATGTAGCCTATATCTTAACTACAATTTTCATTTCATTAAAATTGGTGTCTACGGAGACTAGGCGCATAATGTCCTTGGTAACGATGACCTAGTGCAGACGGCAGAAACTCTTTGTATATGGTGGGTGGAGGACCGCGTACTATAAAAGGCTCAGTCAAAGGCTTTTATCTTGCAAAAAACTGATACAGCCGATCATGATGAAAATTATTGTTTAACTCATTCAGTGCTCACCACTCGGATCCGAGCGGGGAGGGATCATAATAGCGAGGCCTACCACTCAGATTCGAAAAAGGTCATTTTTTTAAATATATAATACATAATCAAAATACGCCTTAAAAATGTTGGCTTCTGCCTAATTATTCTTTATTATATAATATCTTAAGCAGTGAATGTGTTGTTTACTTACGTATCCATTGCGCGGTCTACCACTATCATCAACGGTGTACAATCTACAGAGACGTCGGGGCGCTGGCCGTCTTTCATCGAAGGTTCGATGATCTTCCCATCGGTCTTCCCCCCTCCACCGGTCTTCTCTGTAACGTTCCCCTCCCCATCGTCTATCGCCGTCGTACGCTGCACTAC